TTCTACCAAGCTTTAAAATTCCTACTACCATTATGCCATGGAAGTAGACTAAAGTCATCTGTGACATGAGATCCTTCTAATTTCTTTCTTGCCAGTTCTAAATTTTTGTATTTTCTCCCTCTTGTTTCAGAGGAACCACTTGTCCTCCAACTCTTGAATTTAAATCTCTTAATGCAGTGTTTTCTCAAGTGTGGTTTGAGCACCACTGAAGATATGAGAGATGATTTGAAGTGGTATGCAGACTTGGCATTGAATAACATTTAACCACATAGCAAAAAAAGCTGCTTTATTCAATGCTCTTTTGACCCTTCTGGCAAGGAGAAAATCTCATTTCTATACCTGTGTTTAACACATATATTGCCCATCTGCCCTTTAACCAAGAACAGTTAACCTCAAGCCAGGAGCCTTAGCACAACAGTTTCTAGCTAGAATTTCATAGTTTTGTTTTTGTTATGGTTATTTTAATTTATGGCATATCATGTTGATTTTCCATTTATAGTTCTACTTAAGTAAAAAAAAAAGGTGAATCTGATTTAAAAGAAAATATTAGGTAAATATTTGAGTATGGCGAAAAAATCTTGCAAGTGGTGCTTGAATAACCAACTCTAGGAAATTACTGCGTTGGTTTACTCTACTACAGTGATTGTCTGTTGTAATCCTTGTTTCTCCTGGGCCACAAAGGACAATCAAGGGCTGGAATGATGTCTTTTGAATCCTCTTTTCTCCTCGCATCCTAGGTAACTCAAACTCTTCCTTAGTTGCTGTTGTCATTTTTGGCTTCTAAGTTTCAGAGTATTATTTCTAATGGCACCATCTCTGAATGACTATAGTGTAGACTTTTGTTCCTCTCCACGTGCCCTACCGTTTAGAACTCTTTGTCCTATCCAGTCTTCTGCTGCTTCCACTCTGCAAGTGAATATGGCTCTTTTGACTGATCATTCATTATTAATGGTCTTGTGTTAAACAACCCACCCACAATCATCTGTTGTTTTTTGCAAAGGGATGTTTGTATTATCAGCTTATGACATCCTTTTCAAGCTGCTTGAGACAAGTTTCCATAAGGACTATTAGCAAGAGGACGCTTGAGTAATGCTACCCTTTTCAATACGTAAAACATTCCTTCACACTAACTCTCAACCGCATCAGAGGATGATATTCACCGAACTGGGGTGAGTCTCCTGCCTTCTTGGGCATCTAGCCCTTATCCCCTCCTTTGGGGATGGGATATTTCAGCTCTGACCATGAATTCCCATTTCTAAATAGCAATAATTATAAATTGCATCCTGGTGTTTAAGAACACAAGTTATAAGTCTTTAGTTTTCATATGCTTTTTACATTTCTATAATAGGCTTTAGAGCAGTGGTTCTCAACCTTCTGGCCCTTTAAATACAGTTCCAACCATAAAATTATTTTCGTTGCTACTTCGTAACTGTAATGTTGCTACTGTTATGAATCGTAATGTAAATATCTGATATGCAGGATGGTCTTAGGCGACCCCTGTGAAAGGGTCGTTCGACCGCCAAAGGGGTCTCGACCCACAGGTTGAGAACTGCTGCTTTAGAGGAACTGAGCAGTTTATACACCCAGATCAAATTGAAGCAAGTGAGCAAATGCATTTTGAACACCTACTTGGCGAACATACAGGAGCTACTCTGGGTCAAATCACAGGAATGTTAATCTACAAATATATCCAATACTCACCCCCTGGGGAAAGAAAAGTACTCCGTTAAGTTCCTGTGGCAGAAAGCTCCCGGTAACTAACTTTTTAGTTTCGACACCATCTCTAATGTAATGTTCTGATCATATTACAGAGTGTGACCTAAACAAAGCCTACATTTTTTTACTACTCTGCTTTCACAACCATTGACTCCACACACCTGTCTCTATGGTGACTTTTAGTACACTGCTCACTGAGATTGAATGTGCTTCCCTTGGGCCCTCCCCTCCACAATGAGTCCATAACCCAGAAGTGAGAGGTAAGGAGGCAGGATTATACACACGATTAAATAGCAACGATGAGTTCACTAACCCACAACTGTTTGCCTATGCTTTATTTTGGTGGTAAAGACTCTCATTAAATCTCTTTTTCAATACAATGGATTGTCACTCATATTGATCTATCATAAAAGACAAGAAGCTTCTCAAATAATATTTTGAAAGACAATATTATCTTAAGTTTATAGCTGGCTTTTAGCTCATATTTTCAGCAAATTGTACTGTGTACTATGTGATGAATAATAAAATGCACCATAACTCCTAAGACATCTTATATGTATAATCTTCTGTGCATGTGTGAGTGTTAAAGAGAACAATATTTTGCTAACTTCTGGAAATAAAAAGATATAATATGTAATAAAAATAAAACAATTTTAGAGCATGTATATGTGTTGTTCAGGTTGTGTGGATAGAAAGAAGGTAGATGGAGGGGGAATACAGACAGATATGTGCAAACAATTTTTTATTTTTTATTATTATTTTATATATATATATTATTGATTTCAGAGAGGAAGGTAGAAGGAGAGAGAGATAAAAACATCAATGATGAGAGAGAATCATTGACTGGCTGCCTCCTGCACACCCCACACTGGGGATCGAGTCCGCAACTCAGGCATGTGCCCTGACTGGGAATCGAACCATGACCTCCTGGTTCATAGGTCGACACTCAACCACTGAGCCCCACCAGCTGGACGCAAATATTTATAATAAAAATTGAATGGTGCCAAACTGAGGCCAAGGGATGTTAAAAACTTGCCTAAGATTTCACAGATGTAAGTTAATCAAATGCAAAAGTCTAGCCCTTCCTATTTCACATACCAAGAGGACTAGGGACCACAATTTAGAATCCCCGAGTATCCATAATAATGTTAGTGTGAATTGTGTTTACTTTCCAGATTGGACCACTTCTACAAAATAGTTGGGCAAATTTCTGAGATTCCTAAACAGGAGTCAGTAGGGTCTCTAGAGTTATTGACCGTAAGTATATTTAGCATGTTTGCACTTGCAAGCTGTTTCATATGACTTTGTTTGGTCTCAGTCCAGAATTAAGAACTTCACTCACCTTGTAGACTTTGTTCTGTTTTTGCCTTATGGAGAAAACAGGGACCAAGTATCTAGCAGATTTTTTTCTTTTAAATAGATATTAGCATGTATTTTTATTAATTTCTTTTAAAGATTTATTTTTTTAAACTTGAAATATAATTTATCAAGTTTTTCCATAATTCAATGTCTAATTCTATTTTACAAAGGGTTTTTCTAAACCAGGAAATGTGAAGTACATACATGTGACATTTCATTGCATGACCTTTATGTATTCACGTTTGTATTAGTTTACTGAATTTTACTGTAAGAGAAATTAGAGTGCATGCAAAAAGGCTCTAGATATTTCAACTGGCATTAAAATTATTAGACTACCAGACCTGAAATTGGCTGGAGAAGATACAAAGTAGCCATAGAAAAATAAAGCAATCTTTTCCTTTCTTTTTTGGTTTTAGAACATGCACTTCGAAGATAACAAAATAGGTTTTAAAGGCCATCAATGAAGTGTTTAAAATGCACAGAAACTCAACAATAAACTCAAATCTCAGTCATTTGGTTTTATTCTAGAAATCAATGAGTATTTTTCCATGTTTAAGACTTTTCTTTGATGCAGACTTTGTTCTAGGGTTCTCAAAAATTAAAAATGGCCAGATTAAAACCCTCGGGGGAGGTTTATATATGTTCCCAGTTGCAATCTATCATTTGGAGGGTGGGGCGAATTGGATCTTTCCTAGGTCCATTTCAGCAGCGCCTGTCTCTGCAGGCAACGTCTATAAAGGAGGGATGTGGTCTGAAGTTGGCAGAGATCTTTAAAGAACTTACCCTGGAAGAGTCCGTCTAACATGTCAGCTACTGTTGTAAAAAAAACAACAACAACCGCCACGGCCCTAACCAGTTTGGCTCAGTGGATAGAGCATCGGCCTGCGGACTGGGGGGTCCCGGGTTCGATTCCAGTCAAGGGCATGTGCCTTGGTTGCAGGCACATCCCCAGTGGGGGGTGTGCAGGAGGCAGCTGATCGATGTTTCACCCTCATTGATGTTTCTAACTCTCTATCCCTCTCCCTTCCTCTTTGTAAAAAAATCAATAAAATACTATATTAAAAAAAAAGTAACAATTAAAAAAACAACAACCACGGGCACTAGCTGGTTTGGCTCAGTGGGTAGAGCATCGACCTGCGACTGAAGGGTCCCAGGTTCCATTCCAGTGAAGGGCACATGCCTGGGTTGCGGGCTCGATCCCTGGTGGGGGGCATGCAGGAGGCAGCCAATCGATGATGTTCTCTCATTGATGTTTCTATTTCTCTCTCCCTCTCTCTTCCTCTCTGAAATCATTAAAATATATTTAAAAAACCAACCAACAAAAACAACAACGCCACGGAATACATTAAGTCTCTCCTTTTTTCCCTTTTCCTCAGTAGTTCCACACCCACCTGTTGGCATTTCCTGCGCCTCTGCTAACCCCGCTAAAGTGGGTGTTGTCAGCGACACAACATCTGGCTTTCCGGGAGCCACGGGGGTGTGTCGGGAAAGAGGGGCCACTCGCCATTCTGGGGAAGTCAAGAACCCCCAGTCCGCGCTGGGGTCGCCCGACGTCGGCGTGGGCGGGGCTGGCACAGGTGTCCCGAGAGGCGGGAAGAGCCACTCGCGCAACCCGAGGCAGCCCGGGCCAAATCCCGCGGGAACTGCCCTCGGGCGGCGTCCGGCGCCCCGCCCCCAGGCGCCCACGCCGGTTCTCGGTTGCCATGGAGACTAGGCCCGAGGCGGAAGAGCTCCCCGAGGCGGAGGAGGCGCACCAGCGGCGGCCTGAGCCCGCGGGGTCCATCGGCTCGCGTTCCACCGGCTCAGCCGCCACGCCCGCGACGAGTGACCGCGCGTGGCTGGCGAGGCGCTGCGGCGCGTCCTCCTCCCCGAAACCCCAGCGAGGCGAGCGCCGGAGGCCCTGGCCCCTGCCCCTGCCCCGAACCCGCCGGTGGGAGAGGCTGCATTGGAACCAAACGGCCCTCGCTGGCCTCCGTCGCCCGCCGTCGTCCCGGGCTCCCGAGGGCGCCTTTCCAGTCGCCAGCCCCGGTGTGCGCCCTGCCGCCTCTGCGTCCCCAAGGCCCGGGAAACGTCCGCCCTGGGGGGTAAAGGAAGGGTCGCGGGAGCTGGCGAAAGGGGCGCCCGTGGGGGGCGGGAGAGGCGGCTCCTTGGGGGGCTGAGTCCCCCCGCCGGCCTGGGGGAAAGCCGCCGGTCGCTTGGGAGGTGACTCCCCAGCTGTCTCCATCCCTCTCCCCTCCTGAGTGTGTGACTTCGTGGGGGCTTGGCGGGCTCGGCGGGCTCGGCGTCGAGGATGCTCGGATCGGGTCGGCCAGTACATGTCACCTCTCAGTCTCGGAGGCCACAGCCGAGGCGGGCGCCGGCGTGGTCCTGCAGAGAGAGGGAGTGATGTGCTGAGATAACCTCTCCTTTCCACACAGACGATGCTTAAGGCACCAGCGAAACCTTTTCCTGGAACATCGGAATTGTAACCGAGGGCAGGCCGGGGGCAGCCATGCTGGAGCCCAGTGAACTGCAGTTTCCCAACGAAAGCAACGCCGAGGAGCTCTCCCAGCTCGCTTGCCTGGCGCTGTCGGACGACGAAGCGTCCAGCGAGCAGGACGCAGGTGGTACCCCCGACAAAACTGGGTATCCGGACCCCGTGTACGTTATGGCAGCGAACGTCTTCCAGGGCATCCGAGTCGAAACGTCACCGGAGAAAGTCTTGATCAAGTATGGGAAGGAGCCCCTGCGGCCCTTGTCCAGCGGGTCCGAGGACGAGTCCTTCCAGCACCTGGCCTATGAGCTGGCCTTCAGCGCCCTCAAGTGTGAGTAGCGCCCGGCCTTGGGGAGCAGCTGCAAGAACATGAGGAGCGCACGCGTGGCCTGCAGCCCCCTCATGCCACGTTTTGTTTCCATGCATCTGAGTATCATTAGTCGGTTGCAAATGTCAAGGAATGAGGAGAGTTCCAGCAAAACACGCCTTTTCAGGCCAGAGCTGTTTTTCAGGGTAGATTTTTGTCTAGCATGGTGCCTTAGATGTAATTCGGTCATTGAACTGAACAAGGAAACACTCCCGTTAGCAGGGAGAACAAGGACCCATTGAAGCGCCCATCCACAGTTTCCCTCTCCTTGGGTATTTCTCTCCATTCTCTGTGTTTACATCTTGTATTTTAGTGTGCGAGGCTCTCAAAAAATATAAAATAAAAGCCAGTAAGAGGGTCAGGGAGAGGAACAGGGAGGGAATAAGAAGAAAAAGTGCAATATATCAAAAATGAATATCTAAATTAAATCAACCCCAATTAAGATGACCCCATTTATCGTCAATAGCTTTGATTTGGGGAGCTTATACATTCGTTCCTCCAAACCTTTGCAGAATTCTGCTTTCTAATTTCCTTCTGGGGCTTGAGATGCAGCGTTTCAGATTTCCTCAGTGGTGGTTAATTATTAACTTGTGAGTGTGGGGAGCAGGTCCCAGGATAGAACCAAATATTGTTACTAGGAGAGCAAGAAGTCAAAGGGCTTGGAGACATTTGTTGTTGTACTGGCCTTCAACTTTAATTTAAATAACACAGTGTATTATAATGTCATAGGAACTGTAAAGTTTATGTTGGCTTGTAAACTGACTGAATATAGTTACAAAAAGAAGTTCTGGAAATATTTGGAGTATTAGCATGGTTGGAGTGGTAAGCACATAGCTTCCTAAAGAGATCTTGAAAGGGCAGCTACTCATTTGCCTATCTCTTTTTAGTATTAATACATCCGGGGCCTCCTTGTACATAGGCAGTTAACAATTGTTCAGTGGAATTAAAATGTCCCATTCATTTCAATCTCTTTTTAAAATATGTTTTTATTGATTTTAGAGAGAGAGAAAGGGAGAGAGAGTAACACCAATTGGCCGCCTCCCGCACATCCCCTGCTAGGAAAATGTTCCATTAATTTCTTAGATATGAGTATATATGTTTGGTTGTCTGCTGAAATGATGTCAACTTTAAGGCCAGGAATTTGTCAATATAGAGAAAAATTTGATGTTAAGAGGCAACTTCCCTTTAGTTTTCATTTCTTTTCTCCTGATCGTGATTTTTTTCTTTTAAGATCTATCTTAACCATTTTTCCTCCTCCAGTTTAATCCTAAAGACCAACCAATGAGTCAAATGAACATTTTTACACTTTTCCTCGCAAGAATGAAATGCAGACTGGGCATCTGTGTTGATTAGTTGGTATTTAATGTTAATGCCAAGACTCTATTATAGACACTTTGTTTTCCTAATAGAATATTGAATCTTACCTTTAGAAATCAATACTAAAAGTCTGAAATTATTTTATGTAAAATCATGCACTAATTAGATGGTCATGTGTGTAGTAGATTATCTTTTTTTCTCTCAGTCTTTGTTTTATGAAAGGGTCTTGTTACTATTGATTTTTTAAAAAATACATGTTTTTATTGATTTCAGAGAGAGGAAGGGAGAGGTAGAGAGAGATAGAAACATAAATTATGAGAGAGAATCATGGATCAGCTGCCTCCTGTAGGCCCACTACTAGAGATTGAGCCTGAAACCCAGGCATGTGCCCTGACCAGGAATTGAACTGTGACCTCCTGGTTAATGGATCCACCCTCAACCACTGAGCCACACCAGTTGGGCCCTATTTGATATTGTTTAATGACCCAGAAAATCCCATTCAGATAAATTATTATTATCATAGGCTTTTACAAACCTGCTTTTGTTAGAAATGTTCAAATTCTAAAGTAAGATGACCTTGGTTGTTTACTTGGTACAAATATTTTCTTCTTAGAATAATAATATATTGTTTAAGTTATCATCTGAATAATTTCTGAATGTTCAAGTAGAGTAAAACCCTGAATTCCTAAGTGCAATGAGTTTTCAAGATAATTAAAGACCTGATATTTTGCTTTAAAATATTGGAGGCTCTTGTCATTTCACATTTATCTTCTGCATTAGCAGTGTTTTATCAATACTTTCTCATGATATTTTGTAAGCTCATATTTGGTTTATACAGTATAGGTTCAGAAAAGAAAACTAGGGTTTCTTTCATAAGATTTTATAGGAGCAGTAAAGCTGAAAAGGTTAATGTACAAGCTAAAGAGAGCTTGGGTAATGGTCTGTTTTCTGGTGAATTTGTAAACAAGTAATTAGATCATATTACTTTCTTTTAGGAAGTACAAGAGAAGAAAAAATAATGCCCGAGAAAATCCCTTAATTATAACAAATGTTAAGTATATTCCTTTGGTTGGGTTTTATGTTTTCCAGTTTTGTTTGCTCCTTTGATGTCCTTCTTTGTGCATAAGCTCTATCAAAGCAGAGAGTGTATATCTGATTAACCTAAGGTTTAAAGGGCTCAGTATAATGTTTTTTGAAATGAAGACAACCACTACTCCTGCTTTACTAAATAGCCTGAAGGTCACCTTTTTGCTAAAGGAGGTAATGAAGAATAACCTACCTATTCCTATTAAGTACTAGAAGCTAATTTGTTTTGTTTTTAAATTTTATTTATTGATTTTAAAGAGAGAGGGAGAGAGAGAGAAAGAGAAACACCAATTTGTTGTTCCACTTATTTATGTACTCATTGGTTGATTCTTGTATGTGCCCTGACTGGAGTTCAAACCTGCAACCTTGGTGTAGCAGGACAATGCTCTAGCCCAGTGGTTGGCAAACTGCGGCTCGCGAGCCACATGTGGCTCTTTGGCCCCTTGAGTGTGGCTCTCCACAAAATACCACGTGCAGGTGCACAGGTACAGTGCGATGGAAACTTTGTGGCCCATGCGCAGAAGTCGGTATTTTGTGGAAGAGCCACACTCAAGAGGCCAAAGAGCTGCATGTGGCTCGCGAGCCGCAGTTTGCCGACCACTGCTCTAGCCAACTGAGCTACCTGGTCAGGGATCCCCCCCCCCCCCCCGCCCCGAAGAATCTCTGGATGTTTCAAGGAATACTAAATATTTAAAACAAAGAAAAACTGGCAAAAGGATTTCTTAAAAAATAAATTTCTTTTTTTTAAAAAAAGATAGAAAAAACCTTAAGGAAAGATATGTCTCTGAAATTGTTCATTTTATTGATGGCTTAATTCTTTCTCCAACTTCTCTAGGTGTATATAGTAGTTAGTGAATTATAAATACCAGGTACTGGTGTGGCTTTAACCTGGTCATTTCAGAATCATCTAACCTGTCAGCAAAAACCCTTATAATTGCTTAATGTATGCTCTGAGAACACGTTCTGAATCCCTTGCTCACTTTCTTCCCCTTCTGGCACCCCTTAAGCTGATCTCCTGTTTTTTAATTGTTTTTTTTCTTTTTGGTTCTCTGATTGAGTGATTTTTTTCTACCCTGTCTTCTAATTCACTGATCTGATCCTTGGCTTCCCCTAATCTGCTGTGTATTCCTTCCACTGTGTTCTCTATTAGTGCTATGTCATTCTTCATAGTTACTTTATCTGTTCTCATGCCATCTTTGCCATCATTATTTTGAACTCTATGTCTGATAAATTCCTTATCTCCATTTTATTTAGCTCTTCTTCTGGAGAATTCTCTTGTTCTTTTGTTCGCGGCTCGTTTTTTTTTTTTTTGTCTCCCCATTTTGGCTGCCTAGTTGAGTTTGTGACTGTGAATTAGGTAGATCTGTTATGCCTCCTAATCTCTGGAGCAGGGCAGTGTCAGGTGCTGTTTCTGACTGGCCCTGTATACCCTGTTTGGAGCTATCCGCAATCCACAGCTTGTGCTCCCTCTGCTGTGGCTGGGTGCCTTTGGAAAGGACCAAGATGTGCACCAACAGTGACAAGGATATTAGAAGTTATAGACCACCCCTCACGAACATAAACATAGAACAAAAATCCTAAATAAAGTATTAGCAAATTGAATCCAGCCATACATAGCAAGATAAGACATTATGAATGAGATCTTTAATGTTTTTCAAAAGACATAAAGGTTGGGATTTCTTTATTACTTCTTTGACTATTCAGATAATGCACCTTTGGCTGTGATTCCATGTGGAGCCTGGGTCATTAGGGTCCAAATTCATAACGATTGCAACTATTTCATCATGCCATTGTAATTTCTTTATCAAGAATTGAGGTATAGTTTAGCTATGAAAGTAAATGTATTTTATGACATTGTCTAAAGTGTACTTTGATTCCAAAGTTTTCATTTTCAGCTTTGGTATATTCAGTAACAGACATTTACCTTTTCTTGCAGATCAAGGTATTTTGGAAACTATATTAATAGATAGCTGCATCTTTCCAAGTACTACAATAGTAAGTAGATGCCTTTTATATAATTAGCTGTCTCCTGATTGTTATTTCCAAAGTACTAAAAAGCCTTCAGGTTTAAGTCATAGCTAGTTTTCTAAATGCTGACACCTCTTTAAAGTATATTCTTAACTCTTTTTACTTCTAATGCTTCTAATATTGGCCCTAATCCTTTCATTTTGATGAACATACCAAAAATTGTCTTCTTTGAAAGATCTATTTTGTACTGGGCTCTTTTTTTTTTTTTTTTTTCCTATTTTGAGGTCCTTTTCTTTCAATCCAGCCAGACTCTGTAAATATAGTCATATTCCTGCCCTTTTATGAAAAATAATGGAATGGAAAATAGTGCTATTTGATATTGTTTACATACTTTTCTTTTTGTGTGTTTCCCCTTGGTAGCCAGATCATTTGAGCAGTTTAATTATTGTGATGCTGTATGATTTTCAAGATAGAAAATTTCAAGCTCGTCTCCTTTCTGATAACAAACAGTGCATAGTGGAAGTTCAAGAAGTAGAGAACCTTCTTAACAGGTAACTGTAAAAGTAAAAAGGATGTTTTATGTGGAATCATTATTAGTATTTTCATTGGCAAAATTCTATACAGTATAATGTATAATACGTGTCAAATTTTATAGAGAAAAAATATAAAAGTTCACAGGTTTCTTACATTCCTTTAAAAGCAATATTAAACTGCCCTGGCTGGTGTTCAGTTGTTTGGAGCTTCGTCCCATACACCAAAAGGTGGTGGGTTCCATTCCCAGTTAGAGCTCATTACTAGGTTTAGGGTTCCATTCCTGGTCGGGAGGCAATCAATCGATGTTTCTCTCCCACATCAGTGTTTCTCTCTCTTCCTTCCTCTCTCTAAAATCAGTAAAAAACAAAACATCCTCGAGTGAGGATTTAAAACAGTATTGAGCCCAGCCGGTGTGACTCAGGGGTTGAGGAAGCAAGAGGTCATTGGTTTGATCCCTGGTCAGGGCACATGCCTGGGTTGCAGGCTCAATCCCCAATAGGGGGCATGCAGGAGGCAGCCGATAGATGATGTTTCTCTCTCATCAATGTTTCTCTCTATCCCTCTTCCTTCCCCCCTCTCTCTCTAAAAATAAAAAATGTATTAGAAAACACACAACAGTATTGAAACCCTGGCTGGTGTGGCTCAGTTGGTTGGGCGTTGTCCTGTGCACCAAAAGGTTGCTGGTTCAATTCCTGTTAAGGGCACATGCCAATCCCCTGTAGGGGGCATGCAGGAGGCAGCTGATGGATATTTCCCTCTCCCATCAATCTTTCTCTCTTTTTCTCCCCCTCTCCCTTCCGCTCTCTCTAAAAATCAGTAAAAAACCTTAAGAAAACAACAGTATTGAACAGGTTAAATCTTTTGTTTAAATCAAGTTGTAAGATCCAACTTGTATTTGGAAAATCATGAAAAATTCTTAAGAATTTTTGCACATACATAAATTAAATTTCATTTGAAATTGTTATTTATTTACTTAGCTTTGTTTATAGCTCTTTAAAAAAAAAATCTATCCTGTGTCAAACGAGAATTCCAACAGTAGATAAGAACCCACTGCTTTGACAAATTGAAAAAACACACAAACTTTTACTTAGTTAAAAACAAACATGTTTTGATTTTGTTTTTATCCTAAATATTAGCAGAAACCTACTATGGAGATAATAAAAAGGTGGTGTGGAGAGCTAATGAAACTAATGTATATAAAATGCTTAGATTAGAACCAGACACATAGTAAATGGTCAGTAAACATTAAGTGCTATTGTTGTTAGGGCTTTTGTTATTATGCTGTTGAACCATAATAGAAAGCACTTTATAGCAACAACAACAATCTTGTAGGAAGATTTTTATCTAACAGATAATTGAAACAGTTGTCAGTGTGATATCTGATTTTATATTGTTACTAAAGGCCCGGTGCACGAAATTGGTGCATGGGGGGCGGGATCCCCTCAGCCCAGCCTGCACCCTCTCCAATCCAGGACCCCTCGGGGGATGTCTATATTTGGAAAGATGCAGTTGGACCTCCCTCTCACAATCCGGGACCACTGGCTCCTAAGTGCTCGCCTGCCTGCCTGCCTGATTGCCCCTAACTTCCCCCTCTGCTGGCCTGGTCGCCCCCAACTTCCCCTCCCCCCCTGCCAGCCTGGTCGCCTCTTACTGTCCCCCCTGCCAGCCTGGTTGCCCCTCACTGTCCCCCCCTCCACCGGCCTGGTCACCACCAAATGCCCCCCCCCACTTGCCTGGTTGCCCCACACAGCCTGCTGCTCAGTCGTTTGGCCGGCCCTCACTAACCCCCCTGCTGGCCTGGTCACCCCACACCTGCTGCTCAGTTATTTGATCATCCCTCACTTTCGCCGGCCTGGTCGCCCCACGCAGCCTGTTCGGCTGTCCGTTCGGTTGTTTCGGTTGTGACGGTTGCTTAGGCTTTTATATATATAGATGGGAAATCAAGCAGTTTCATTTAAATTATTGAAGGCTGAGACCAGAGGACTCAGGTAGTGGAGTGATATGGCTTACATTTATTGAGCACATAATATGTATCAATCACTGTTATAAGAAACTCTTGACATAATTACCTTATAAGGTGGACACTCTTATCATTTCCACACATGGGAAAATGGAAGCATAGAAGGTTAAAGGAACCTATCTAATGTCATAGAGTTAGAAAGGGGAGTAGACAGAATTCAAATTTCAGGAAGGCTTTAATGTTTATATGCTGCCACTCCTTGCCTTTGTGTTTCTCAACCTTCCTAATGCCGCGACCCTTTAATACAGTTCCTCATGTTGTGGTGACCCCCAACCATAAAATTATTTTCGTTGCTACTTCATAACTGTAATTTTGCTACTGTTATGAATTGTAATGTAAATATCTGATATGCAGGTTGTATTTTCAGGGGTCACGACCCACAGGTTGAGAACCACTGCTAGGATATGAGGCTTGGCTGAGTACTCTGGAAGATTAAAGATAGGACGTAGTCATAGCTCATGTTAGTTGTAGCCATGAGAAATTGTGGAATGGAGGTTAAGCTTAGGAATTACGTAACTACAATTTAACATATAGAAAGGAAGCTCTGGCTATATGTACAATGGGGACGCTGGTAAAAAGAGAAAATTGAGCAGTTTTCCATGATAACATTAAAATTGTACAGGAGATGGACTTCTGGCTCAGGAATGTTGGGAAAGGCTATTTTTGCTTCCATTTTTATCATTGCAGTCTGCCTCACAGCTCTGGAAAACTTTTTTTTTTGGTTGCTAGAGTATTTCATTTACAGAAGTAATATGTTTGGTTATTCTAATAGCATTTAGATTTGGTCTTTGTCCTCAATCTGATATTTATATAAAATCTTTATAACTGTATATATACTTTAAATTACTTTTTGTGTGATTAAATGATATTAAAATTTGGAAAATTATTTCTCCCTGTACTTACCCATATACACAATACATATATTTTTCTAGGTTTCATATCTCTAATCTTTTTTTAAAAATATATTTTATTGATTTTTTACAGAGAGGAAGGGAGAGGGATAGAGAGTTAGAAACATCAATGAGAGAGAAACATCGGTCAGCTGCCTCCTGCACACCCCCTACTGGGGATATGCCCGCAACCAAGGTACATGCCCTTGACCGGAATTGAACCTGGGACCCTTGAGTCTGCAGGCTGATGCTCTATCCACTGAGCCAACCTGGTTAGGGCCATATCTCTAATCTTTATATTTCATGATTAAATAGTCCAGTCAATGCATTTACAGATAGTCCTCGGGTTACGTCGGACTCGTACGTCATTTTGTGGTTACGTCGCCATCTCCCATTTATTTATTAAAAAAAAAGTTCCGTCATTCGACATATGTACATATGTGCTTTATGTTTTTTATTATTTACCACAAATAAAGGTCAGGAATTGTTATCTGTCTTTTAAATTTTTTTTACTGTTTCACTTCATTACTGCTCTGTATGTGCTCCATGTGAGTGATGTAGGTGCTTATGTAGGTGGGTTCCAACTTATGGCGAAAATCACGTTTCGTTGCGCCGTAGGAACGGATCTCTGACATAACCCAAGGACCTACTATGTATGCATTAAATTTGAACTATGTAGGTATTTGGACAGATTATTTAATAAAAAATAGTTTGTACTCAGAAACAGTTCACAGTGTATAATATAGAACTGTTACCTCCTTTATATTAATGTATTCTTTTATGTGCATTGATGTATTATGTAATTGTTTTTAGTATCCCTTCCTGTAGTTTTGTGACATTAGTACATAGGACTATACCAATCTAATTTTATTGTAGCCATAGAAGACTTCATGTTTGAAAACACTTTCTCTTCCAAGTGCCTGTATGTTTGTTCTCTCCCTCTTCTTCTCTTTCTTCCTCTCCAACTCCCCTATGCACGTACACATATTCACACATAAACACATTCTTAAGTGAAAAGTTCTCATTCTATCAAGTAGATAATAAGCTTAATTTTATTAAGCTTCTGGCAGTCACACACATCACCCTGGTTGTACTTGACTCTTTTGTGGATTCTCTTCCCTATTTCTCATTTAAGGTTATGATTTTTTTCTAGTTTCTTTTTTAAAAAAACATGTTTTTATTGATTTCAGAGAGGAAGGGAGAGGGAAAGAGAGATAGAAACATCAATGATGAGAGAGAATCATTGATTGGCTGCCTCCTGCAGTCCCCATTGGGAACTGAGCCTGCAACCCAGGCATGTGCCCTTGACTGGAATCGAACCTGGGATGCTTCAGTCTGCACACCGACACACTATCCACTGAGCCAAACCAGCTAGGGCTCAAGGTTATCCTTGAGGTTTATTATTCAATTAGATTCCTACTGTGAAAATGATAAGAATATGGGTCAAAAGAAAGTCTTGTATTCTCATGTATTAAAAACTAGTGGCGCGGTGCACAAAATTAGTGCACATTAAAAGGGAATTAATTAGAGGAAATATTTTAATATTTTATTTGCCCTTTCTCTATAATAGAAGTGTCAGAGATGAAAGAAAATTAGTAAAATATATATGAAAATCTTCCTCCTGTCAGAGTCTGGGGTGCGCTGTGGAACCCAGAGTCAAGTCCCTGCCCACCTGTGTGGGCCTCGAAATCACTCGAAACCCAGACCTGGCTGGCCCCACCCCTGTCAAGCCCCGCAGGGTGGAGGGCACAGCCTCAGGTCCCCCATCAAGCCCTGCTGGGCGGGGGGCGCGGCATCAGGTCCCCCGGCCCAGCCTCAGGTCCTCTGGGCACGAGGGTGTGACAACCATTTGCATATTAGCTCTTTATTATATAGGATTGGGGCTGTGAGATCAAGAAAAATGATTGGGTCTTCATGGTCATGCTAACCAATTCTTTTTCTTTTCTGTTGTTTGGAACTTTGAGGCATGGGATAATCAGAACTAGGAAGGGCTTGATACAGATTCATGCAAGTTCCTTAATCTTATCAAGACTACCTTGGCCTGGTAGCTCAGTGGGTTAGAGCATTGTCCTCATATACCATGGTTGTGGGTTTGAGGATCAAGACACATACAAGAACCAACCAATGAATGCATAAATAAGTGGAACAACAAAATCAATGTCTCTCTCTCTCTGTCTCTCCCCCCCCCCGCCCACCCTGTAAAAAAAGAATACTACACTGATGCTGTCTTAAGGTCACACAGCTAGTAAGTGACAGAACCTGAATTTAACTTCAGGTTTGTCTGACTCTAAATCCTACACCTCTCTCACTACATTAAATTTGTCTTGAAACTAGCACTTGATATAAGTATCTGAGCAGATGCACAGTTAACTATACAGGGGCAGCAAAAACTGAAAAGAGGAAGCAGGATTATTGGATTTCTATTTTCAAATATGGCCATTTTTTATTTTAGACTATAAAAATTTGAAATAGAATTACTGAAGGATTTGTTAAAATTTGAAATCTAATTTGTTAATGTTTCCAGTGGAAAATTGATAGACTTGTCTTCAATGCAGTAATCACCAAGAATGGATTTTCTGTCTCTAGTTTTAAGACAAAATTGGCTGCGGCATTGGCAAGATGTCGAATCAAACATGATGCCCTTTCAATTGACCACATTCTTCCAGAAACAGTTAGGAACCAGGAACTAAGGGCCTCCACTTTGCCACTTTATGCTTGGATAAATACTTTAAAAATTAGGTAAGAGTTTTAATCAAATTCTTTATTCATATTTCAAAATAATGTGATAAGAAATATTACCTTTTAAATGGGGGAGTAATTGGAGAATCATAGTTTAGTTCAGAATCTTATCACCAAACTACCAAAGATAATCACGTAAATATGTTAGCTTTTCTGTATCTTTTAACTGATTGTTGCCTAAAATTGTAAGTTCCATTAAATGTAATATATAGAGTGGTGTTTTTGTTTTTGTTTTTTTGTAAGAAAAGATGCTAGTGTTAAATACATTTTTAATGTAATATATTTGTAGTTACAACCTAATGTTGTATGTTTACAGCCCTGAAGAAGTTTATTTTAGTTTGAAGAAAAGAGGCTACACTAAAGTCAAAACTGTATTGCACATTGGTGGAAAAGTCTTTGCTGTGGACCAACATTGCTATGATGTCTTAATTTTTCCATCTCATCTTAAAAGTGATCTTCTAAATATAGATCTCTTCAAAGATTATAAACTCATATTTCAGGTAAATTAACACTTATATTCATTGTGATTCTCAATAATCCTACTTATCCAAAGAATCTCTCCACTGAAAAATAAAACCTGCTCTAGCCAATTTTGCTCAGTGGATAGAGCATCGGCCCCAGGGACTGAAGGGTCCTGGGTTCAATTCTGGTCAAGGGCATGTACCTTGGTTGCAGGCTCAATCCCCAGCAGCAGTCGGGGTACATGGGGGAGGCAACCACTCTCCCTCACATCATTGTTTTTCTCTCTCTCTGTCTCTCCCCCTCCCTTCCTTCCACTCTCTCTAAGACTCAATAGAAAAATATCTTCAGGTGAGGATTATCAACAACAAAATTAAATAAAATCTAACAAACTGATTATATTTTTATAGATTATCAGGGAGGTTTCTAATTTCCACCTTGAATAAAATTAATACCTCTACAATCAGTGTTCCTATTGTACTTTGGCATCTTTGTCCTAGGTGAAGTTGTAAAGAACATATTCTCTCTCCAGATTCTATACGTGGGGAGACTTGTATTGCTGGCAGCTATATTTTTCTCTCCCAAGGGAAGATTCAAGAGAAGGTACAATGATACCTTTTCTTCCTTATATTTCTGTGGAAAATGCTAGAGCCATCCTGCATTTGAAAATGCAGTGTGTGATACTTTCCAATTATCTCTTTAATATAGTCTTAAAGCTTTGATTTGTAAGAGGTGTGTAATGTCTATCAATGCAGGAAGAGAATATGAGATATAATGAGGTTTCCATAAATGAAAAATAAAAGGTCTAAAATATTAAGTTAAATTAATTTTTATGTTCTTAGATTCTGATTCTTAGCTCAGATTTACCTGGTCTTCTAAGGTTTATTCCTTTACTGGACCCATATTCTTGGGCAGAATCTTTTGGCCTTGTATTAGAGAGAGAGACCCTACTGAGCACTGAGATCAACTGCAGAATCCCAGTCTGTGTAGCTTCCTTTTATATGCTTGTCAGCCATTTTTTAAGCTCTGTGAACTAGCGGCAATTTAAATTACAATGTAATAGGAAAGAAAGAATGGCAGTATCCCTGGCCAGGTAGCTCAGTTGGTTAAACATTGTCCTGATACTCCAAGGTTGCTGGTTTGATCCCTTCTCAGAGAACATACAAGAATCAACCAATAAATGCATAAATAAGTAGAACAACAAATTGATGTTTCTCTCTCATTCTTCTTTCCTCTCTCTCTCTCTCTCTCTCTCAAATCAATCAATAAAAATTTTTTTTAAAAAAGGAAGAATGGCAGTAGTAGATGAATGGGCTTTCATGAATGACTAGGAATGGGCAGGACATCACTAATAATCACATTTCGGGGACTTTGGCATTGCATTATATACCTCTTGCAAATCAAAGTTAAATGGTAACAGTCATAATTTAAGCTAAACAAAGGTCTTTGTTTTAAATCAGTTTATATCAGTTATTTTTGTTAACTTTGTATTTTAATGTATAGGATGTTTTAAAATAAAATGGGTTAGGTGTCTCTTCAAGATTCCTACCAACTACTTTCTTTTACCAAAAGAAGTCAGTTCATGCTTCTAGTTAAATTCTTTGAAATTCTAATCATACCATATCTTGCAGGACAAATCTCGAAGTCTTGCTGTCCATTCTGTAAAGGCTTTATTAAATGTGGATGATGATATCTTAATGGTCAATACAGGTTCGTGGTACACAGTTGCCCATATGTCAAACTTAACAAATAATATCTCAAAAATATTTGTGTGTGGAGTGCAATCACAAGCTAAGCATCCTGACCTGAAGAACCTTTTCACAAAAATGGGATGTAAAAGTAAGTACCAATATTCATTTGTTTGGTAATGTTCTACAAGAGTTAGAGCCTTGGCCAGGTAGCTCAGTTGGTTGGAGCATCGTCCTGAAACACCGGTCAGAGCATATACAAGAGGGAACCAATGAGTGCATGGATACATAGAACAACAAAGTTGATGTTTCTCTCTCTCCCTTCCTCTCTCTCTCTAAAACCAATCAATAAAAATTACAAAAAGATTTAGAAATATTAAAAATGTTTGAATTTGTTATTTTTAATGTAAAAACTCTATGTGAACTATACTCTTAAAATCCTCACTAACTCATGCTATATCAGTCTGTTCTTATCGATTAATATTGGTTAAACAACTACAGTTTTTGAAAATGTATTTTTATTGATTTTTAGAGAGAAAGGGAGAAAAGAGAGAGAGAGAGGGAGAAACATCTATGTTAGAGTGACACATCTATTGGCTACCTTCTGCATAGAGATTGAGCCTGCAACCCAGGCATGTGCCCTGATTGGGAATGGAACCAGCAACCTTTCTGTGCATGGAACAATGCCCAACCAACTTAGCTACATCAGCCAGGGCTAAACAACTAGTTTAAATTAATGAACATATTGGTACTTTGGTATATTGCTTGACATTTAGCCACTATTTAATTTTAGGTTTAAACAATAAGTAGTCAAAGTGAGTGGTAGAAATGATTGATCATCCTTTAGTAAATAAGAACACAATCATAGGAGAGCTTAAGGGACAAAGATATTATCTAGAAGATAAGTCCCCTTATGCTTCTTATTTTTAAAAAGGTTTTTATTGGATCATGCTAGGACTAAAAATAACATTTATTATAGGCCCAGTGAGGCTGAAAAGTAAGAAAAACTTTTGACAGATTCACAGGATGAGGGAGAGAAAAAGTAGAATTCAGGGCTTGACCTAGAAAAATAGACTGGTAAATAACCAGCATTTTATTTGGAGCACAAAAGAAGTATATCCTGGATAGTAATCAGTTCTCCCATGAATTGAAGCCCAAATGTCAATCATCTCAATTAGCAGTTGGATTACGATGATCTGGGATTGCTAGTGCTCAGGTTTAGCTGCCTACCAGAAGCAAAAGTAAATTCTCTCTGGAAGAACATAACATAATCCTAGGTTTCATATTATCTCTTAAATTTTTTCAAATGCAATGTCTGGCACTAAATTATAAAAAACAACCCACTAGACAAACAAAAAGAAAAGCTATAGCTGAAATAAAGAGAAAAAAAAACACTATAGAAGCAAGCCCACGGAGGGTCCAATACTAGAGATATCAGATGTGGACTTCAAAATAACTATGATTAATATGCTGATAAGACTAAATGCCAAGTTGTAGAATTTCAGCAGAGAACTGGAAACAATAATTTTAAAAAGTGAAAAGAAGCCCAACTGATGTGGCTCAGTGGTTGAGCATTGACCCATGCACCAAGAGGTCACAGGTTTGATTCCCGGTCATGGCATATGCCTGGGTTGCTGGCTTGATCCCCAGTAGGGGTGTCTAGGATGCAACCCATCGATGTTGATGTTTCTCTTTCGTCAGTGTTTCTATCTCTCTCTCCTTTCTTTTTCTCTCTTTAAAATCAATAAAAACATATTTAAAAAAATTAAAAGTCAGAAGAAAATTCTAGAACTGAAAAATACAATATGTGAAATTAAGATATTGATAGATTTATTAGATTAGACAAAGCTAAAGAAAGACTAAGTGAACTGATAAGCCTGAAGAAAATACCCCAACTAAAGCATGAGAAGATAAAAGTGTGAATAATATGAAAGATATCACAGAATACACATGAGACTCGGTGATCCAGTGATTGCATGTATGTTGTGACTGGGAAACGAGGAAAAGAGAAGAGGAATTGGAAAGAAATAATACTCGAAATTCAGGCTGGAAATTTTTCAAAATGGATGTAATAAATTAAGTCATATCTAAGAAGCCCTATGCATTCCAGTAAGAATAAATATACCAAAAATATACAAGGCACATCATAGCATAATTGCAGAAAGACAAAGTCAAAGAACAGTGTTCAAAGCAACCAGGGAGATGATACATACTACTCTTTTTTTTTATCTTTATTGTTGAGAGTATTACAGATGTCCTCCTTATTTTTCCCCCAGTGACCCCCTCCACCTGATTCCCACCCCAACCCAGGCCTTCACTGTCTGTGTCCATAGGTAAGATCTTTGGTTAATCTCTTTCCGCCCCTCCTTCCCCCCTTCCCTCTGAGATTCGTCAGTCTGTTCCATGCTTCCATGCCTCTGATTCCATTTCATTCACCTGTTTATTTATTCATTAGATTTCTTGTTCATTTATTTTGATTTTTAGATTTGATTGTTGAGAGATATGTCTTTGTTGTCATTTTATTCATATTTTATCCTCCTCCTTCTTCCTCTCCTTAATTAATACCCTCTAACATTTCATATAATATTGGTTTGGTGGTGATGAACTCCTTTAGCTTTTTCTTGTTTGTGAAGCTCTTTATATGACCCTCAATTCTAAATGATAGCTTTGCTGGGTAGAGTAATCTCGGTTGTAGGTCCTTACTGTTCATCACTTTGAATATTTCTTGCCACTCCCTTCTGGCCTGCAAAGTTTCTGTTAAGAAATGATCTGACAGTCATATGGGTGCTCCCTTGTTGGTAACTAACTGCTTTTCTATTGCTGCTTTTAAGATTCTGTCTTTAACCCTTGGCATTTTAATTATGAGGTGTCTTGGTTTGGGCCTCTTTGGGTTCCTCTTGTTTGGGACACTCTGTGCTTCCTGGACTTGTAGGTCTATTTCTTTCACCAGCTAGGGGAAGTTTTCTGTCATCATTTCTTCAAATAGGTTTCAATATCTTGCTCTCTTTCTTCTCCTTCTGGCACCCCCATAATGCACATGTTGGTAAGCTTGAAGTTGTCCCAGAGGCTCCTTACACTTTCTTCATATTTTTTTATTCTTTTTGCTCTTCTGATTGGGTGTTTTTTGCTTCGTCATTTTCCAAGTCATTGATTTGATTCACAGAATCCTCTACTGTTGAATCCCTGTAAATTGTTCTTTATTTCAGTTAGTGTATGCTTAATTTCTGACTGGTCCTTTTTCATGTCTTTGGCATTCTCACTAAGATTCTTGAAAGTCTCATGAAGACCCTTGTGTAACCTTCTAATCATGGTTTTGAACTCTGTATCTAATATTTCCTTACTTCCATTTTTTTCATTTGTGACATGTTTCTTTGTCTCCAAATTTAATCTGCTTCCCTGTGTTTGTTTCTATGTAATAGGCAGAGCTCCTATATCTCCTGGAATTGGTAGAGTGGCCTTGTATAGTAGGTGTCCTGTAGGGCCCAGGGGCTCAGCCTTCCTAGTCACCAGAGCTGGGCCCTCTTGTGCACCCCTGTGTGGGCTGTGTGCAAGGTCTTGTAGTTGAGTCTCTCTGGGAGGAGCTGATCTCCAGGTCAATTGGCTGTGATGACCAGCTGTGAGTACAGTGGGAGAACTGTGCAGGATTCGAAGCCTAACTGTGAAGCAAGGCAGGCTTGTGCTAGTGCCAGGTCTTGGGCATTTTATTGATAGGTTAGGGCATGCTGTCAACAGCTGGAGTTTGTTTGATAGATTTTAACAAAGCCTGAGCCAGGACAGGCCATTCATTTGGAAAAGTTGCTAGAAACAGCTTGGGTGGAGCTGCAAATTCGATGGGGTGGGGTCTCAGGGAATCACCAGGGCGGAGCAAACAGTGTGGGCCACACTGATATGGCTGCCAGCGTAGGAACAATGACCCTTGCATCCCTGTCTGGGAGAAAGCCGCCCCTGGGTTCCTGCCCCAATGCCAAACAGTCCAGTTCCTCCCAGTATGTGTCTGGGTCCCCCAGAGCCACCCAGTGTTGGAGCTCAGAAGTATTGAGTCCAAGTAAGTTCACATACTGGCCATTTAAAAGGAACATCTGGGTCTCCAGCAGCCTCTCTGTCACTGAGCCCCAATCCCTGTTGGTTTTTTGCTTTTGTTTTTAATATATTTTTGTTGATTTCAGAGAGGAACAGAGAGGGAGAGAGAGATAGAAACATCAATAATGACAGAGAATCATTGATTGCCTGCCTCCTGTATGTCCCCTACTGGGGATTGAGCCCGCAACCTGGGCATATGCCCTTGACCAGTATTGAACCTGGGACCCTTCAGTCTGCAGGCCAACACTCTATCTACTAAGCCAAACTGGCTAGGGCCTGGCTGGTTTTTACAGCCCGTAGTTATGGGGACTTCTCTTCCCAGCTCTGGGACCTCTTTCTCCTCTTGGGTGGCCTCCACATAGACGATATCTCTACTGATTTAAAAAGCAGCACACGTGGGTGACGGACCAGCTCACTCAATGCGGGCTCCCTTCCTACCAATCTCAGTGTGTTTTCTTCTCTAGTTGTAGGGCTTCCATTCAGCCAGCTTTCAGGCAGTTCTCAATGATGGTTCTGTATTTTAGTTGTAATTTTGATACATACTACTCTTAATGGAATAACAATAAAACTAAAAACTAACTTTTCAACAGAAACAATGAAGCCAAAAGACCTTTAAACAATATCTACATGCTGAAAGGAACTGCCAGGCTAGATTTTCATACTCAACAGAAATATCATTTAAAATAAAGTGAAATAAAGACATTTTCAGACAAATAAAATCTGAGTTTGTCACCAGCAGACACAATAAAGGGTATACTAAAGACTATTGTTTAAATAGAAAGAACATCATCTCATATAGAAGGTTATAGATACTGGAAGAAATGAAGAACTATGGAAAAGGTAAGTATATAGGTAAATCTAAATAAATATAGTCTAATGTCTTGTGGGATTGTAAATATGTGTGTTATATGTAATTAAAATAAAATACAACAACGTCACATAGAAGGAAATAGAATTAATATGTTCTGTCATTCTTGCTCTGTCCATGAAATGATAAAAGTAGTAAATTATTAAGTCAGTGATGTGTGTTATAATATTTGGAGCAATCAAACAAATAATTATATCTAATAGCTAAGGGAGAGAGGGAAATGGAATAGGGAATTGGAATATCATATTAACATGTATGATACATACTACTGAAACAACTGCAATATATAATATTCTAGAGGCCCGGTGCACAAAATTTGTGCACAGGTAGGGTCCCTAGGCCTGGCTGGCAATCAGAACTGATCTGTGGGGCGACCGGTGGGGCAATTGGGGGCCCCTGCTGGCATCTGCCTTGGCTGGCCTGAGGCCTGCGGGCTGGGGGCAGCTCCTGCGTTGAGTGTCTGTCCCCTGGTAGTCTGCGCATCATAGCGACCAGTCATTTCACCGGTCGTTGTGTCGTTTGGTCGATTTGCATAAAAGGCTTTTATTATATAGGATATATTTTATATTTATTCACACACACACACACACACACACACACACACACACACATACTAGAGACCTGGTGCATGGATTCATATACTGGTGGGGTCCCTCGGCCTGGCCTGCAGCTCTCTGACATCCCCCAAGGGGTCCCAGATTGCAAGAGGGTGCAGGCCAGGCCTAGGGACCCCACTGGTGCATAATCAGGCCAGGGAGAGATGACAGGAGGGGTCCAGGGCATGTCCGGCCTATCTCGCCTAGTCCCAATGGGCCGGACCCCAGTAGTAAGGTCAGTGCGCATCATAGCAAACAAACAGTCGCTTAGGCTTTTATATATATAGATTATGCTAAAACCACTCAATGAGGAAGAAATAACAAATACTGCTGGGACAACTGGATAGCCACTTGCAAAAGAATGAAGTTGGCCCTAGCTGGTTTGGCTCCATGGATAGAGCATTCGCATGTGGACCACAGGGTCCCAGGTTCAATTCCAGTTAAGAGCCCATGCCTCAGTTGCAGGCTCCTTTCCAGCCTGGGCCCTGATCAGGGGTTATACAGGAGGCAACCAATCGATGTGTTGCTCTCACATTGATATTTCTCTCTGTCTTTTCCTATCTCTTCCACTCTTAAAATCAGTGGAAGAAAAGTCTCAGGTAAGGATTAAAAAAAGAGAGAAAGAAAATGAAGTTCACCTCCTACCTCAAGTTATATACAAAAATTAACACAAAGTGGATTAAAGACAGAGATATAAGAGGTAAAACTATAGGGCTCCTAGAAGAAATCACAGGGTATGTCTTCATGACTTTGGACTTAGCAGTGGTTATTTAGATATAATAGCAAAACAAAAGAAAAAATTAGCTAAATTGGACTTTATCCAAATTAAAAACTTGTTCTTCACAGGTCACTATCAAGATAGTGAAAAAGACAACCCACAGAATGGGAGTAAATATTTGAAAATCATATTTCTGATAAGAGACTTGTATCTAAAATATATTAAATTCAATAATAAGACAAATATCACGAATAATGGATAAAGGACCTGAATTTATTCTGACTCAAGAAAAAGATCATAAATCAATTATGATCTGGCCCTGGCTAGTTCAGTTGGTTAGAGTACCATCCCAATTTGCCAAGGTTGTAGGTTCGATCCCTGGTCAGGGCACATATAAAAAAAATTCTGAGCCCATTCTGATCAAAATCAGTACAGATTCTAGAGACAGTTAAAACATAATAAAAAGACACTATGAGCAACTTAATGCCAACAAACTTGAACATTTAAACAACATGGGCATATTCCTGGAACAATACAACTTACCAAAACTTAACACAACTTTTGGTATACTCTATACTCCATTTCTCCATTGCCAGCTGGCTCAGCATTAGGCTCTGCCTTCAAAAGGTGCTGGAGAGACATTGCAAGACTTTTTCCCTGTGGCGGCCATGCAGGGGTCCTAGCAGTGTTAGCCTTGCAATCAGAGAGCTCAATCTCAGTCTTGCTGCCCCTCCCCCTCCTCTGACTTGTTAAGTTCCTTGTTTACAGTTCTTTCAGACGCGGTAGGCAGTGGCTACTGTACAGTTATCACCTCTGTACATTTTAGAGCTCTCAAGTAGTTGAACACCTTTTACCTAGTTAACAGGGAAAACAGGAACTATTGGGTGGCCAAGCATAGAGGAAAGGAGGTTTCTCCTTTTAGAAGTATTCCAGATAATAAAAAAAGGGCGATAGAATTAGTATATAGTAGCCCCTCCTTATCCGTAGGGAATACAATAGGTGCCTCAAACCACACGTGTGATAAAGTTTAATTTTTTAACTAGGCACAGTAAGAGATTAACATCAATAACTAATAATAAAATGGAACAGTTTTGACAATATACTGCAATAAAAGTTACGTGAATATGGTCTCCCTCTCTCTCAGAATATCTTATTGTTCTGTGCTCACCCTTCTTGTGATGAGATGTGAGATGATAAACACCTACATAATGAGACGAAGTGTTAGGCTACTATGATTCTCTGATGATATATCAGAAGGAGTATCATCTGCTTCTGGTGATCCTGAATCATTGAGTCATGACGATGTCAATAGTTGATGTCAGGAGCAGCTGAAGTTGATGATTGGGGAAATTTAATATTTCAGACCATGGTTGACCACAGGTAACTGAAACCATGAAAACAAACTGTGGCTAAGGGGACACCACCCTATGACTATTTTATAACCCCTTTGCTGATACTACAAAGGGAACATAGAGGGTGAATATGACACCATTTGTGAAGTAGTTTTGCTTCTCTGCCTCCCCACTGAAAAAGAAAAAACAAGAGAGTCTGAATCTAATTGAGCTTCTAAAGATCTACTAATTGATGGAACAAAAGAACAAAAAACAGGGACATATGAAATTACACTCTAGGGCAGCAATTAGCAAAATCCAGACTGTGGGAAACTCTAGTACAAATAACCAAGTTTCATTAAGAAATAAATGGTAAGAAAAATAGAAGGGGAAGCTTCTTTAGATAAAAAAATTTAATATAAGATGTATCAATTCAAACTATTAAAAATGTTTGACATGTGTGTCTGATGAGAAATTTTAGCCATCATTTGATGCCATTATTATTTAATGGTAATTAGGATTTTTTAAAATTTTGTAATTCTATTTTAAAAGGAGTTTTTATCTTTTAGAAATATACGGTGAAATATTTATAGATTCAAAGTATGTGGGGTGGTGGAAGTGGGTGCAGGTGTAGATGAAACAATTGAACATGAATGGTTCACTGTTGCAGGACTGTGACAGTACTTGAGAATTTATTATATATATTATGGCTGTTTTTGTATATGTTTGAACTTTTCTAATAAGTTAAAATGGGGGTGGGAGGACAAAAGGCCCACTTGAATAAAACAATTTCAAAGGAGACAGAATAGGAAGAGGGAAAACTTAATCAGGAGAGAGGAAGGAGTGGGTAGGGCAATTTCAGGAGTGACTCCTCAGCAGTGAGGGGAACATGAGCCATCGCAGAAGCAGAGAAGTGGCCTAAGATAGGGGCACAGAGCCCTGGCCAGCTTTCTCAGTGGTTAGAACCTCGGCCCAGGGACTGAAGGCTCCCGGGTTTGATTCTTTGCAAGGGCATGTACCTCAGTTGCAGATTGTTGTTGGAGATTAACAACAACAAAAATGATAGGGTACAGAGAGGTATAACCTGAGAGAGGGCAGACTCTCAAACTAAATTTCAAGGCCCCTGAGTGACCTTACACTGTGGCTCATAAATACTACTGATATCTGGGTTTTTTCCTGGGAAGATAGAATATAAAAGGGGATTTAAAAAATGGACAGGGAAATAACCATTACTGAGCACTCAGGGTACACAAGGCACTATGTCAGCTTAACTACTTCATCTCAGTCTTCACCACCATTAGATGAGGGAGGCTTTGTTATCCCACATTAATGAAGAAGGAAATGGAGGCTTCGAGAGATTGACACGCAGCTAGTAAATAGTGAAATCGGGAATCAAATTTGGGTATTTTTGTGTCTAAAGCCATTTCCCTCCACTGCAGCATACTGCTTTAAATGGAATCTTAAGTTCAGAATGGAAAACTTAATTATGTCTTATGTAGGAAATATTTAAACTTCAAAATCACTCAAGTGAAGAGAAAACCCTACAGAATTCATGTATTAACTTTGGGAATTTATCAGAGATGAACATCATCTTTTCTGACTACATTAGAATGACTTTTTGTGGCGAGGATTTAAAAATGAACAATGATAAATAGGCTTACTTACATACTGCATTAGGGCTTTTAATTAGTATTTTACATTAATTTTTTCTATATTTTTCTCCAGATATTGAAATACTTCCTGAGACATTTCTGAAGGATAATAGATTACAGAAAGTTAAAGTGATTCTGCTGCTACCTCGTTGTTCAGGACTGGGTATTAGTAATCCAGTAGAATTTATTTTAAATGAGCATGAAGGTACTTGTTTTAATTTTTAAATTTTAAATTATTGAAATGTATTGATAATTTAAATAAAATTATTTAAAATAATTAAAATGACATCAGATATATCTGATTAATGAATAGCTTCCATGTATGGAATACTATGTATAATGTACTTGATATTCATTGCCTCATTTAATCCTTAAGCCAATCCTGTGAGATATGGGCAAGGGTGATATTCAAAATATGTATTAATTGGAATGATGTAGGCAATCAGAACAGAAGTTGGCCAGTGCTGTTCTGGCATATTCTGGAAGGTATTACAATTTATCAGCATTTACTTTTATTTTTTAAAATATTTTTTTAAATTGATTTCAGAGAGGAAGAGAGAGGGATACAGAGATAGAAACATCAATGATGAAAGAGAATCATTGATCGGCTGCCTCTTGCACGCCCTCTACTAGGGATCAAGCCCACAACCTGTGCATGTGCCCTTTACTGGGATCGAACCTGGGACCCTTCAGTCCTCAGGCCAACATTCTATCCACTGAGTCAAACCAGCTAGGCCGCAGTGGTTCTCAACCTGTGGGTTGCAACCCCTTTGGCGGTCGAACGACCCTTACACAGGGGTCGCCTAAGATCATCCTGCATATCAGATATTTACATTATGATTCATAACAGTAGCAACATTACAGTTATGAAGTAGCAACGAAAATAATTTTATGGTTGGGGTCACAACATGAGGAACTGTATTTAAAGGGCCAGAAGGTTGAGAACCACTGAGCTAGGGCAACAATTTATCCAAATTTTATAGATGAAAAACTGAGACTCTGAAAGATTCATTTTTATAAGGTCACACAGCTAGTTAGGAGCAGAACTAGGACTCAAATTTAGAGCTGCCAGATTTCAGAACCTATATTCTAAACACAGGCCTAATTAAATCATAATCAGACTGTTTCAAACTCAAGACTTCCTTAACATGTATGGTTTCTGATATGAATACTCAGATTAAATGTTAATTCTAGGAATATTTTATTTCCTTCTTTAATAAATTTCAAAATATTATTTAACATTAACCTTTATTGAGCACTTACATGTAAGGCACTACTGAGCTAAGCACTTCATTTGGGTAATGTCACCAAATCCTCACAAGAACGCAAAGTAGTAGTTACTCTTATAATCTTCACCTTACAAATACAGACTCTGAGGCTTACAGTGGAGTTTGAAGTCCCCCAGTCATTAGACTAGTAAGTGTCAGAGCCCAGATGCAAGCACAACCGCTCTGACTTCAAGGTCGGCACTTCGAATCCTTCTCTTAATCACAGCGTACTGGCCCCACGTTAACTGAAACTGACCCCTGTGTATATTGAAAGGCGTAGATAAAGGTAACTAGAATATTAGACAAGACATTCCACTAATATTCAGAACATGGGGAGTAACTTTTCTCTTTCTAGCAAGGACATAATTAAAAATTGAGAAAAAGAAATGAAGGGAAAGGAACTAATATTTATTGAGCAAAACTGTGTCCCAGTCGATATTCTAGGTAGTACACATGCACTATCACTTAATAGTCACAATAACTTTTTGGGGATAGTGTTATTTGATTATTTCTATTTTACTGAGAGGAAAAATCAAGACTCAGAGAAATTTAGCAAGTTGTCTAAGGTCATATAGCTAGTAAATAGAGAAACTGGGTTTTAAAATTAATCAGTTAACATTTTCTTTCAGTAACTACATTTTATTTATTTATTTGCTTCTTTGTTTATTTTGCTACATTATCTTTAATTGGACTTACACTGTACCATGTAGAATATTGACGTTCTGTAGATAATGTTTTTCCAGTGAGAGTTAAACAGAAGAATAACTATCTGAGATGGGAGAGCAGACTGAGAAAATGCCTGCACTAACTCTGGGGAATGATCAATGAAGAATTAGTAGACACTGAAAAGAGAGGGAAGAAATAGCACCTATAATAAGCCTCGCAGGCAAGAGAATCATAGCTGAGAATGTGGGTCTCTGGTCTTATCCTGGGCCATGTTGGAGTGGGAATGCAGAACTAAATAAGCTGTGGATGAAAATAAACTGGAAGCTGGGAGACCAGCCCAAAGGAAAATACAAATGATGAGAAAAGGAGACAGGAAAAAGTTTTCTAGGTATTGGTAATGTTTTGAGGCAACAGGATAAAGCAACAAGTGGTCTTTGGCAAACTTGGGAAAACTGAGCGTTTTGAAGGTAACTGTACTCTGAAGAAATCATAGCCAAAGCAAACAAGGAGCTGCTGACCTGATGACTATGGTAGAAACAGTAGCCATGAATTTAGGGGATAAATACAAAAGATGTTTCATCAGACTTAGATGATAGGTGGAAGAGAGCAATCATAAATTCATTTTGGAAAACATTGAAAACCGTTAGAACCATTGAAGAATATATGAAGTTTAAAATAACTTGGAATTATTTTAAAATAGGATGAAAAAGGTAATCTGTATGGTTTTAGAGTGTAATAATGTATAAATAGTCCTTTAAAAAGTGGTGGATAATTTTAGAACAGGTAGAAAGATGTGGAGTGTAAAACTAAATTGAAAAGAAATGGAGTTTAATTAACCTTCCGTGATATTACTGGAGTGGGGAACCACCAAATATGGGGTAAAAATAATTGGCTGTTATAATCCAGGGAGTTACTAAGAGGTGAACAATACAGAGGTTAGAAATTTGGGCTCTGTGGTCAGTTTTGGAGCTAGAATCCTGGCTCAACAGAGTAGCTATGTGACCTTAGACAAGTTGTTTAATGTATGTTTACACAGTTTCCTCAATGTTAAAAGTTGTTGAATAAAATAATCTATATAAAGTAGCATTCAATATATCTTAGCTAATAATATCAAGAAATATGTTAGCATTAGCTTCAGAAATTAAAATGTTACTGTAATAGTTTCTTGATCTATTAAGAAGGAATATATTTGCTTCCCTGAATTTTTTCATCCAAAATTTCTTTTGGTAAGTTAATTTTTAAAATTGTATTCTTTTGTGTTTTTTCGTACTGAGCTTAGACTGTAGGTCATCATTTCTACCTGGGAAAATAAATGTTATCTTCTCTTTTCTTCTATTAGTCTCTAAGCTGACAGCATTCTCTTTTCTATACCTAAAGACTTATTTGACTAGTTGAATGGCTATCTCATAGGGGTTTGGAGAAAAAAGAAAAACTATTAAAACTAAAAAAAATGATCTTTGTCAACTTAGTTTTCAATATTTAAGTCAACATTTTTATAATACTATTTAATTAGTTTTACTATTTTCCATGAAAACTTTCAGTAAGAGGGAAAATGATCAAAAATTAAATAATGTGATAATAGCAATATATGGAAAACATGTAATAGTGATATAATTTAAAACATTTGTTTGCTTTTAGATACAGATTTACTTAAAGATTTCTCTCAAGGAGGCACATCAGAAGATAAACTTCGTTTTCTTGCTCAACAGCAATATGCACAGCTAACACACGCAATGAAATGTAAGTTTATCAGTTCAATCTTAACATGTTTGTCATTTGAGAAGCATTAATACTCCATTTCTCTATTATAACCAGGCAGTGAGGTGTGAACCATAATGAATTTCCCAGAACACTCAGTCTTAACACCTTAAAGTAACAAAATGTTTATTTTTATTAACTTAAGTCTTTAAAAAATATATGCTTTGCTATCATTTTTAACAGAGGTTAGTAAGCATAATTCACATTTCTTAATGCTGAAGTGCATCCATTATGGTAGTTTCATCTTCTCTATTCCTTCTCTTTGGCTTCTTACTTGATGTAATTTTTCTGTTGTCACTGCCTGCTCCTAACAACTCTTCTACAATCCAAATTTTAATTAAACTCTTATTTCTCTTACTGCCAAGTAGAGAATAGAGAGAGAAAATTACAGATCAAGCCTAGATCTCTTGATTTGAAGTCTGAGTAATAAAATTCTTTAATCACTGCATTCAGATTTAAGTACCATTTAGATTCTGAGTACACATGGACACGGAAATCTAAAAGTGCCTAAGAAATTATATACGTTTTTATGAATTCAGTGCATGTTTATCAAATGCCTACTCAAAGGTAAGTATAGGTGTTAGAGACAGAAAGAGTTCCTCCACCCGGTGCTAGCAGAGCCAAACACTAGACACTGAGAATTGCAGTGGAGAAATACTGGCTACTTTATTGATAAATGGTGCCACCCGGGAGAACGGGAAGCTAATGCTCAAAAGCCTGAATTCCTCGAGGATGGGTAGGTGACAGACAAAGGGCAAAATCTCAAGACACCTTTGGTTCCACGTCATGTTGGGAGCTGATTGGTAGGAGGTGAAGGGTAAAGAATAATTTCCTCAGGTCTTAAGGGTGGCTCTGAGGTTATTTTCTAGTGTCCCTTTGATGTCATGGGTAAGTAGCTGGGGAGTGGTTTCACCTTAGGGCTCAGGAACTGAAACTTATGTCAAAATGTTATCTTTAGCCTGCCAGAGGTCTAGACCTTGTGACCATTAGTCAAGCCTGATCTGTCTTCTGCTGCCTGGGGAAAGGCTAGGTCTCTGAGGGGTGTATATATAGCTAGAGGGATATAATTTCTAGAACTAGGACTTAAAGCTAAATGTAATCAAAGTTATAGGGACCCTCGGTTTCATAGGGTATTGGTAATTCAATACACATGGATATAGCATACATGAGGTAGAAATAGGGCAAAATGTAAGGCACAGAAGAGGTCTCCCTTTTGATGCTACTAAACATTAAACATGATAATTGTGTATATTATCTATGAAATAAGATGGATAGAAGATTAGAAAGTTGGTAACTAAATTGTATGGTATTTTCCCTGACTATTCTATTTAAAATTACAGTATCATCTCTTGAAACTAGACATCCTCCGTATATACCTGCTTGTTTTTTTGTATGGCATTTATTATCTAACTATACTTTTCCTGCTTATTTATATCTTATTATGTCAATAAAACACAGAAAACAAGCTCCCCAGGGACAGGGACTTTTGTCTGTGTATCTCCAATGGCTAGAACAGTGCTTGGTAAGTGTGGACAAATGAGTTGCAGGTAGTAGCATTACCTCATTTTAAAGATGAAAAATCTGAGAGTTGCAGCAATTTTCCTAGGTTCTGGCAGCAGTAAATAACAGAACTAAGATCCACACCTCTGTCTGTCTGTCTCCAGAGTCCATTTAACTAGTTATATGATATGGCTTGTGGAACAGTGGCTAGAAGTAATCATTCATGGTCATCCGTAGTACTTATTTGTTGGTGTTTGTAACTAGGTTGGTCATATTGATTGAATTTTCAATTCCATACAAAACAGTTAGATTTACTTTACTTTTTGGCCACAAACTACATAATTAATATGTGCTATACAGGGGAACCATGCAAATGTCTATGGAAATCATTCCCATTGAAGCCATGCAGTATTAGTACAAACAGAGGTCTGGAAACATAGCACATTTGTTTAGAATTGGTAATGGGGTCATTGTGTTAATTACATCTTCTTTAAATGTAGTTACTAAAGCTCAAGCAGTTGTTTACTGCACATGTTCAGTTTATCCAGAAGAAAACGAAGTTGTTGTTAAGAAAGCACTGGAATTTCAAGACCATGGGACCAAAATACAACCTTATAGGTAAGAAAGGACAGGATGCTTCTAAATAACTCAACCAAATATTTTTAAAAGTGAAAAATTATGATTTTCTAAGTTTTCTGAAGATATTCCATTTCCTTTTTGTTAGACTTTAATATGCCCAAGTCGCCCATCTTCTTATAACATTAACATCAATTCTGTAGAGCCTTTACAATGGCTTGGTATGAGCATTCTCTTGTACACTAGATTTATGTTGTTATTGTTAAAGCTAAAGCCATTTTGGCCTTGACTTATTGTTTTCTGGAAAAATTGAGTCTAAACTTTATATCCTGAGTATTAGATACATCCATTCCCCAGTTAGAAGAAAAATAAGTATATAAAATATCCTGAGAAACTAGAGAGAAAATTGGATATTTATTATCTGAAAACATCCATTTCTTAGACCCTTATATATAGCCTTTGGCACCCACAAGACTGAGGTAAAAATAGCCTAAATAACTAGTATAGTAACTTCTGTGTAAAATGTTGCAATGAACTGGAGATAGAGAAGAATAACAGTAATACTACAACTGAACTATGTACATCAAGATAAGGAGTAGGAAAAAAAAGATAAGGAGTAGATATAAGACTCTACAACACCAATTAGTTCTTCAAGTCTGTGACAATAATGTATTTAAAAATGTTTCCTTCTATTTTTAAAATGTTTTTATTGATTTTTAGAGAGAGAGAGGAAATGATAAGAGAGGGAGGGAGGGAGGAAGGGAGAGAGAGAGAGAGAGAGAGAGAGAGAGAGAGAGAGAGAGAGAGAGAGAGATGAGAGGGAAATATCCATCAGCTGTCTTCTGTACACCCCCTATTAGGATTGAGCCCCAAACCAGACATGTGACCTGACCCAGAATCTATCTGTGATGATGCTCAATCAACTGAGCCATTCCTACCAGGGCTCCTATTTTTACTTATTATTCATGTTTTGAAATTTTCTTTTAATTCTTATAGAAGAGTCTTAATATGCATATGGTTTGCTTCCTTCTTTTACTTTGGTATTTTTCCTTTGTCCATTCACAAGTGGACATGTTAATCACACCTGTTTCCCTTCCTTATTTAGTAACTTCTGTTGGTAGCTAACAGCCAATCTTATGTTCTAGTGATTCCAATATAGCATTGGCTAAATTACCATCTAGTGGCAGAAAGGATTATTGCAGATATATAACCAAATTCATCAATATAGATGATCATTTGTTAGGAATAAGGTTTCTAAGAATGTAATATAGCAAAAATGGAGGAACATCCGTACTTTATTTCACTAGATTTTATTTCAGGTAAACCATTATTATTAATCTATAATATGGTATAAAATACACAAGTAATATTTAGGGACATATTATAAAGAGAATAATCTGGGATTTGGGCTCAAATTAAAGAGTATATATTCAAGAGGTCTATAATTACTTGTTGGGGATACTGTCAAAGAAATTATGAATTACTTAGAGAAATACACTATATGGTCTCTAAGAATAATTTCTTAATTCCCAAAGTAGTAAACTTTAGGTTTGAAAGCAATATTATATGTCATCTAATCTAATCACCTGTTGCTAACTTTTCCTTATAATATCCCAAAAAGTTTCACCTCATTTTAGACTTTAGCCATTATCATACTTACCTATGTCAATGCAACTTTTTTTGCTGCCCCTATTATAAAAACTTCAGTTTTATTTCATTATAGAAATACTAACTTAAAAAGAATAAGTTTTTCCACATCCCACTTAACCATATAACCCTTACCAGTTTGACAAGGTTGTGCACATTTTAAGTTTTAATTGGTATTGTCAAATTACCCACTGAAATATACACTCTTACAAGCCTGTTTACCCACAGCTCCACAGATGCTGGGTTTTATGAGACTTTAAATTTTCACCAGGCTGATGTGAAAAGATGAGATCTCTTTGTTGATTAAATTTTCATTTATCTACTAATGAGTTTGGGCACATTTGCTGTTTACTGACTGGGAAGTGTACTGTGGAGTAAATAAGAGTGAGGGTTCTAGAGCAGTAGACTTCAAACATTTTTGCAGTGTTTGAAAAAGAAACTCTCTCAAATACCCTACATGTTTTTAAATAACTATATAACGTTTTCTGTTTTAAAGTCTAATATTGTCTACTTGATGTCTAATATTTTTAAGGTTAAATAGTTGTTTAATATATTATTCTTGAATGTTCTATTACACATGTGATTTAAATATATTTCCGTTAAATCTTTGTATCTGCAGATTTATCTTATTCTTAATTTATGGAAAAATGATGAATTTGTTACCTATTTTACAAAGCTAGTTGTCATTGTGAAAACCAGATTGACTTTGTCAGAAAAGTCTGAGTTTAAAAAATTTATATATTTTTATTGATTTCAGAGAGGAAGGGAGGAGAGGGAAATAGAAACTGGGATTCCAGCCTGCAACCTGGGAATTGACCCGTGACCTCCTGTTTCATAGGTCTGTGCTCAACCACTGAGCAACACCAGCTGGGCTACTTTTTAATTCAAATAAACATATTTGCTAATATATGCCCCCATGAGTTTCTTCTAATTTTAATCTAAGGGATAGATATGTGAAAATAAGGAGGGGGGAGTAGAGGGGAGAAAAGAAGAGAGGGAGGGAGAGCAGGAAGTTCAAGAACAGAGCTTTTTCAGTGTTTGGCAAAATCAAAGATTTCTTACATACACCCTGCTCTGACATTGGAGAAGAGAGCTGCACTCTTGAGCTGTCCCTTTGTTTAGCAGTACATCGCAGGACAATGTACTATAACAAGGCAAGTGAGTGCCTTTTTGTTAAGTAGGAGAAGGTGCCGTGGGAGTAGAGGAAGGAAAGGTGGCTGCAACATGGATTATATTACCTACCTCAACGGATCTTTGTGGAGATTGAAAATATAACTCCATGAACATGCCTGGCACATAACAAATGTTTAATAAAGGTAGCCTGTTCATATTCTTTACCACCTTTTCAACTGTATCATTCCTCTTTTTCTTCTTTTTATGTGCCTTGTCATTGTGTATTAGGGATATTAACTATTTTCATATGAACTACAGATATTTTAAAATAAAATTTTAATTAAAATTGCTTTATAGAAATCTCACATTTCTGTGTAGACAAGTATATCAATCCTTTCCTTATGGCTGGTGTTATATTGATCGTTAGCTTATACATTTTTTTACCAGTTTTCTTTAATATTTTTATATTTAAATAATAGATTTATCTGCTGTTTATTTTGGTAAAGGAGTAAAGTACAGAGAATGCTCCATTCCCACCCCAGAACCTTCATCTCCTTCCCTCTACTAATTTAAAATGCCTCTGGTTTTTTATGTTACAATCCTGCATATACTTCTGTGTGAGTCTGTAATTCTATTCTCTGTTGATGTTTGGCTATTTCTATTCTAATATAACAATGCTTTAATTATTATAATTTTAAATGGTTTCCTTCTCAAGTTGTATTAATTTTTTTAAATTCAAAACCCCTACCCACATTTGTTTATCATGTAAAACAACCCAAAGATGCATAATGAAAAGGTTAATAATTACCTTCCTATATCTCCTCACCTCCAAATCCCCAAATGTCCAGCAGCTGGAACAGGGTCCTGGAGTTCCCTTGATGAGCTGGTGTAACCCTCTGTTTCTTTCTAATATGCGAAGGTATGGAGGGGGCACTGGGAGAGCTGGGGCAGCTAGAGGGCACCAGAAGAAATATTATTACCACTGGTATAGCCACAATAGTGTGTACCAGTCGAATATCAGCTGCATGAGTGTGTGTGTACAGACATACCTTAGAGACACTGCGAACTTAGTCCCAGAGCACCACAATAAAGTGAGTCGACATCTTTTTGCTGTGGAGGGTCTTGCCTTCAATTTGTAAATAATGCAACATTTGTGAAGGGAGATAAAGCGAAGTGCAATAAAATGAGGTATGCCTGTATATAGATAATATATACACTAAATATATGGAACGGTTCCTATTTTAATAAGTTTTAAAAATTGAAATGTTATCCACAAACAATAATTCATCATTCTAAAGTGCATAATTCACTGCTTTTTAGTATACTGAGGAAGTATTTTTAGTATATTGTGCAACCATCAGCACGAATTCCAGAACATTTTTATCACCCCAAACAGAAACTTTGAACCCACTGAGGAGTCACTTCTCATTCCCCTGGTCCCCTAGCTCCTGGCAGCCACTTAGATACTTTTGTCTCTACGGACTTGCCTATTCTAGACATTTCAGTCAAATGAATTTATATAATATCCTGATATCATCAAATCAAAAAATCCCAAATGTCATCATCTCAGTCAGGTGTGAGACTCTGGGTATGAATTATTCAAAGAAATGGGCTGTCAACTGGGGTTTGGAAATCATTTTGCTTTGGAAGGGCATTTCTAGAAGGTAACCTGACCAATCTTAATTATGGACTACTAGTACCATACTAGTATATATAGTTAAAATACATCATAGCCTATCAGATAAGTATTTATTGAATACCTGTTAGATACCTGAAACTCTTCTAGGTGCTAGGAATATATCAGTCAATTAAAACTGACAAAAATCCCAGCCTTCATATTTACACTGTGGAGCTATGTTCCAAATTGGGAAGAAATGATTATTAGCAGAGAGTATATTTTAAGTGAAAACATTTCTTTTTATTATTTCTATGTATAGAGAACATATATGAATAGGCCTTAGAAATTCAGTTTGTTGGTTATAAAGTTGGCAAGAGGAGCAACTAGTTCTCTTGCCTTTATCATATAGCTCTAGCTACTATTATACTAGTATTTTAACAGCTCAGTTCAGCATAAGCATTTATTACAGCACCTCCATTTGTCAGATGCTTTGGTGTGTCATTTGAGGTCATGTGTGTTTGCCCACATTCTAAGTGACCTCTCCATCCCTTTTCTCACTGTATGCCCCAGACACATGGATACACTTGCCATACCCCAAACAGACATTTTCATGTTCTCCTTTCTGTCTAGAATCACCTCCTTACCTTATTGGAAACCTAATATTCTTAAAGACATAGCACCGAGGCTACTACTTCTGTGAAATCTTCACATTTGATATCTCCCATGGCCAGAGTTGATTGTATTTTATTCTGTATTACCATGTAATTTTGTCTCTAGTTTGCTCAGCATTCTTATTTGTAGTTCTTTATATTGTGAACTGAGTAGTGTCTACAATTAAATTGTAAACCATTTATGAGAATCAATATTTTATGTGCTTTGCACAGTAGGCAAATCATTAATACATATACATTTAAAATGGTTTTAAATTTCAGAATATAATAGACAAAATTATTAAGAGTTTCTGATATTTTAATTTATATGAAAAGTTTTTATATAAATTTTGCCTTGGTTAAATAAATTTTAATTGTAAAAGTATGGAAATATAAGAATTATTTATTATTTATGAATGAACCACTTACTATTAAATAAGAAATTAAATATTAAATACAAAAACCAAAACATTTTTTAAAACATATTAGTGATTAGAATTTTTTATTTCTGATATGAAGTTTTTATTATGAACTTTCTTGAACACTACATAATTCATTCATTAATACTAAAAATGTTATTGGGGAAGAAAAATGTAGTTAAAATGCTAGGCCAAATTTTTATGTTGTAATTGTGCAAAAGGTAAAAGAAGGAAGTCATACCTGGTGTAGTTTGACAACATGTGGAAGTACAGGATTTTTTGGATTGTACCTTTGTGATTACTATACATATTAACCTGTTTTCATTATGGGAGCCTGTTTTTGGTGTTAACATATTAATGATTTGGGGAAGAATTTTTAATTTGCTAAAAGGTTGGTATTCTTGGCATAGTTTTTTTTAAAGGTGGAGAACTTGGGAAGTAGACTAAATTATGAGTAAACATGAAATATTAGAGTTTTAAAATTATAATAGTACTAGAGGCCCAGTGCACAAATTCGTGCACTGGTGGGGTCCCTCGGCCTGGCCAGTGATTGGGGCTGATTGGGGCCATCTCGCCCAGTCCCAATTGGGGCCATTGGGGGTTGGCTGGGGAGGGACTGTGGGAGGTTGGCTGGCCTGGGCCGATCTAGGCTGAGGGGGACCAGCTGGCCGGGGAGGGACCACGGGAGGGCTCCAGATATGTTGGGCCCTCTCGCCCAGTCCCAATTAGCTGGACCCCAGCAGCAAGCTAACCTACCGGTGGGAGCGTCTACCCCCCGGTGGTCAGTGGGTGTCATAGTGACTGGTTGAGACACTTAGCATATTATGCTTTTATTATATGTACAGTTTCAGTATTTTATCCTAGCTTGGAATTTATGTTTAAATGACTGGTAAAACATAATAGAAGAAAACTTGTTGCAATTTACTCTCTCCCTCCATTGGCAAATTAGCCTTTCTAACTAGGACTGTTTGCTCCTATCTCCTGCAGGCTTAGTCCTCCTGTCCTTCCACTGTGTTCCTTAAAGGAAGTACATTCATCTGCTGATAAATTCTTCAGAATGGAGCCATCTGAAATTACCAATGGTTGTTTTCTTTCTGTTCTAACAAGGGAGGTAAGGAAACAACAAATCCTCAGGAAGTCTCTGAGCATTTTGTTAATAGTGTGCTTATTTTATACATAGTTAAAGGGCAGGAATAAGAATGATTACTGTGTGGCAAAAAAATAATAATAATAACCTATTTTTATCTTTTTATTTCTCCTGAGTATTCCTCTCTTGCCTATTCTCCATCCCCACTTCTCCATACACTTTGTCAACACCTAGTTCATCTTATTTCACATATAAGAAATAAGCTCTGTCATTTTTTTTCCCCCTGTCAGGTTCATAAATAAGGAAATTTAATTACAGAAGTCATTTGCTGAGGCTTATGGGATATATTAGAGACTAAGGCCTAAAAACTATTTCTTTTAGTATAATGTACTCTTTTATTTCTTCTGAAACATTGATAAATACTTGTAGTATACACACTAAATCAACTCCCACATTTAGTACCTGCTTCTTTATTGTAGCGGGACCCATCTGAGACAGTGTCTGTGAAAGATGTGTTGGCTCGCGCTGCAGCAAAAGGTCTACTGGAGGGAATTGAGTTGGGTAAATCTTCAAAACGGGAGAAGAAGAAAAAATCAAAAACAACATTGCCAAAAGCTCCCTCTACTGACAGTAAAGGCATTCAAGTGAAAATTGCTGAGTTTCTGAACCGAGAAACTAGTGAAAATGCCAGTGGGTCACAGGCAGCAACGACAAAAACCTCTCTTCTACAGAAAGGCACAGCTCCAGTGGGTGCTTCCTCACAGGCCAGAAAACCCAGCAAGCCTGCCGCCAATCCCCTGGTGCCTGCTTTTATGAAGAACACATCTCTCCCCAGACCGTATGAACGTCCCACAAACTTCGTGAGACCTCGCCCTGAAGACAAGATGGTGGTACTGAAACCCGTAGAGATTGTTTTGCCTCCAGTAATGTTCCCATTATCACCTCCCCCAGGGATCAGACCTCATATACCAGCTCCACATTTTTACTATCGTTGGTTTGCACCCAAAACTGTTGTGCCCGGCTACCATTCCACGCCACCGATCGCCAGAAAAGGGGAAAAGCCTAAAGGAAACTTACCTTCTTCCTTCCTCAGACATCGGCGACCGTGGCTTTGATTGTCTGGTGTGTGTGTGGTGGTTTTTCTACAAGGTCAAGAGCAGGGTTTTTTTCAGCGTGGTATTTCTCTGAAGGCTAGACAGCCCTACACAAGATACCCATTCTTTCAGTCACTTAGTGTCTTCTACAGGTGAATTAGCTTCAAGAGAGTTAAGACAAGTGAGACAACACAATAATGTAGGTGGTTATGCAAAGCAAAACTCAGAGATTTCAACATCTCAGTGCTGATCTGTTCTAGAATGTCCACGTGTAGACTCAGCAGCTGTTAGAACTTGTCTCACCCTTGTTAACTTTCAGTGGGGACCTGGGACACCACTTTGAAAAGAAAGCTGCAACAGTTTTTCCTGAAGGGAAACATTACCTTATTCACAGGCTTTTTTCCTAACTTAACTTTTGAGGCAATTTAGTTGAAAGCACAGGTGTGGAAAAGACGCTGGCCCTCTCTCACCGACTTTAGATTGCTCTTCAGTGTCTAGTCAGTCACAGTTTAACATTTTCAGTCACTATCAAGGTTCACTTTTTCTTAAATATTAAAACATGCATGAATATGATGTGAGTTTTGATGGAGGTTGAGTCTGAGTAGGAAGAACAGGAAGCTCCAAAGTTCCAGGTGTGGGTAGGTCAGATGTCCAGGTAGAGTGAACGCTATTTCTCGTTGGAAGAGCTTCCAGGATCTTGCGCAGATCGGACATAATCGGCCCTCCCTTCTATTTATGCCAAATAAGATGGTAAAACAGTGACTATAAGCAAATTTCCATCTAAATAATAATTCTGAGGAAGAGGCAAACTGTTGAATACAAGTGACACTGAAATCTACAAGTCATGTCAAATGGCAAACAGTAATCAAATTTTGGTAAATCATTTCTGATGCACAATGAAAATATAGCAGTATGTTAATTATATTAAAAATCAGTTAATCTTGACTATATGATCAATTGTCTACCAAGAATTGGTATGATTATCATTTCTGGGCCTACTGATTTTTTTTTCCCCATCATGGCAAAAGAAATTGCTTGACATTAAATGGAATAAATTACACCTAGAAATCCTATTGTTCAAAAAATGTTCATAGACACATTCATAAAGTTTGAATTTAAAATTCTATTTTCAGAATCCAGTTGTGTTGGACAGTGTTATGTAAATTTCTGAATGTTCAATTCAGGTGGCATGATTTTAGTAGAATATTACCTCTTCCAGATAAATGTTTAGATCTGTTTCAGCTCTGATGTTCTATTCTTTATTTTCTCACTTGAAGTGAGGATAAAAAATGGTGAATATCATTTTAGTAGTAATAAATTATTTTTATTTTAGCTGAAGGTTTACATTTATCAGTGAAATGTGCCAATGAAGAAAGGAAACAAAAGTTTTTATATTTGAACCAGACTATATTTTCAATATCAAAAGGATTCCCATGTTAATTATGACTCTTACAATGTACAAATATTTTAAATGCTCAACTTATTTCACTAATTTCAATAGTTAAAAACTATGTGTTTCTTTGCTCTAAAAGTTATAGTGTTTCACCCTCTTATTCCATCTGGCTTAGAGTGTTCCATGCCTCTGGGAGGCCAGTGCAGCTGAATTGCACTTTGTTTGGTATTTTATCCCAGAAATCCTCTATCCCTTTCCTACCCTCTTCCCTCTGCCCCAGGCTGAAAAGTACTCCATTGTCCAAAAGTAGCAGGTCTGAGGTTTTTGTGGTAAGTTATATAAAGAAAACTTTTATTGTTAGGAAATAGTTCAGGATATTTTTCTGATGTCTGTAGCAGCATGATTCATGTCATGTCACTTTAGCCGCTTACATTCAGAATCACATAACATGCACCTGCCTCTGAATCATTCTTCTCTTAGAAGTATATGGAGATCCTGATTAAACCATTCACTAAGCCTGCAGGTTTCTTTGAGAATCTCTAAGGGCATGGTCAATTATTTAGATACTGTGGTAGAGTCAGAAAGGAAAAGTACTTGGGATAAAGACAATATTTGAGAATTCTAGTGAAGGAGAATTAAACATTGACATTTTTCTTTCTTGAGGTTCCTAGAGAAAGGTGTTGCAAAAATCTAAAATAATACTGTAGATATTCCAATAGCAAATTCAGATTTTTATCTAAATTTACCACTATATAATACCTGAAACCAAAATTAATTTTTGTTCCTTGAGAGTAACTGCCTTTGATAGAGTAAAAGAGATAAACTATCGGGGGGAAAAGTAAGATGAGCAAAGAATGGGAACATACTTTAAATTCTGTTTCCTTCTTCCACATGTCTAACATTTCAATAAGTCAGATTTAACTGATTTGTTTTTCTAGTTACCTTTGACTTGGGATTTAGTGCCTGTACAACTCTATTCTTCATTCTTTGATGTCAGGTTCTTTCTAGTTCTTACCAGATGGAAATATGCAACAACTAATCAAAACTGAATTTTACATTGCTGAAATGATTTTTAAATATGTATTCTTATTGATTTTATTTATTCCAAAAAGGAAGAGGGAGAGAGATAGAGACATCAATGATGAGAACCACTGATCGGCTGCCTCCTGCACGCCCCACTGGGGATCAAGCCCACAATCAGGGGCATATGCCTTGACCAGGAATTGAACCGTGACCTCCTGATTCATAGATCAACGCTTAACCTCTGAGCTGTGCCGGCTGGCTGAAATAATTTTTAATTTGAGGTAAGAATAATCTGAAAATAAAATGTCGTGGAGAACTTCCATTTTTATTTCTGCATGTATGTGACTGACATGCCAGATAAATGAGCCAAAAACTTTGTGCAGCTAAGTTTATTCTCACAACATATTACATTTAAATGTGTAAAAGTGGTCAACAGTAAATGGGCAAGAAAGCAAAACCAAATGTTCTTTCAGGATAAACAAGCTGCTTTGGGTGGCAGGGAGAGCTCTCAATAAAGTGTGAGCAGTGCGTTCCCCTGAAGCTGAAATACACTTCATGTTGCTGGCTATGTAACAACCTGTTAGCTGTGGAATAGGGAAGTCAGTCTGGCAAGCCAGAGAGCGAGTGGTTTCACTAAATTGTGCTAATACCAGGGAAATGTTTCCCAAGTTGTTTGTGAAATTTTGAATGTGTTGCAATGCTTACAAAAACGAGTGTGTCAAATGAGAAAAGGAGGAAAGGTTTAGGGCTCCTAGTAAATGACCTTCCGTAGAATCATTTACCAATGTCGATCATAAAGTCATAAAGTGAATTTTTTTAAAAAAGTAGCAGTGCCAACAGGTTATCACCAAGAACTTATTTTAATGGAAATGAGAAGAATGTCCCTTCATGCAATAAGACACAAACAAAAAACAATGGTTCTAATGAGCTCTGGGTGGAAACAAAGGCATGTGGACATGTGTCTCTTTCGGAGGAGATCACACACGTTGTGATATAAAAATGCAGCACCGAGCAGTGCTTTAGTTTGCAAAGTAAAAACTTGAGCCCTAGGCATGTTGGCCATTCCCCTTGATGCCGCCCATGAGCACATATATGAGGTGGCAAGTCTGTGTCTGTCTAGCTGCTTGTAAAAAATAAAATGAACTTTAAGCATTTTCATCTACATAGTCCAATAAAAATGTGACTACAAATCATTACAAAACCACCTTTTAGGCAAAGAATAGTTCACTGAGATTACGTAGACCTGGATACACTGTGAGATAATATCCAGTAAAGATAATACATTAACACAATAATGCAGTATATTTCAGTAAAAATAGAATAAATAAAAATATTTTAAGCTGTATTTAACAGGTTAATTAAAAAAATGAGAAGACATACAAGGCATAGTGAACATGGCTGCCTGTTTACCAAAGGACAGACATAAAGAATGCATAGATAACAGAGTGTCGCTACAACATCATGTCAAACACTGGTGTCCCTGCACAGAAACACACACACACTTTCATATATACTTTTTGGCCATGGCAGAAAGTGTCTGAACATACTGTTTAACATAAGTAACTTTACAAAATTAACCACATTTCGTATGCAAAGCTACCTTCAAAACAAAGCATCTGCAGTAAAGTTTTCAATATGTAAAGGCTATCATTCATTTTAATGTATCCTATAATTGCATATATAAATCAGTTTGCTACTTAAAGCTAGCTCAGTATGCCTGGTCCTGTAAATAAACAAACATATGCCTTAAAAAATGAACACAGGGTTCTGGTAGAGATTTCCAATATAAAAGTGGATTTGTTGTTCAGAAGTTTGAAGTTTATCATACTAAAACATTTCATTGTGGAGATCAAGATGAAAGAGGATCATGATTGAATTTGAAAAGCTTTCAAAGGGCACAGTATGGATTTTCTTAATGCAATAATTTCTGAAAATGGTATTGGTTACTTCAGATAGAAGCATATAGGCTGGTGAGAAGTATAATTCATTTCTAGAGGGGCATCTTTTTTGTCATAACATGAAGGTGCCAGCCACAATTCCAGAATTCTGAGAGGGAACAGAGGCAGGAGGCCACTCCTCATTCCATGTTCTCTGGTGGCTAAGCTGCGTGGATTAGGACTATCTCCACCACCCCTAACATCATCTCTGGAAAAATGCCTGGGATTCTGTCCTCTCCAACACACCAGAGGCACTCTGCAGGACAGCCCTGGGCCGAGAAGGCAAGGGTGTTATAATTCATACCAGTGAGAGGAATTCCGCCACATTTCCTACTTCTACAGGGAATGCTGCGATTTCCTGACCATAATTGGGTTTGCCCAGAGTCAGCGTGTGAAGATGCCCTGGCTGGTGAGGAAGCGGCATAGCCTACAAATGGGAGGGGAAGCCTGGGTCCTAGTCCTGGTTTTCTCACCAACTTTGGTCAGACCTCAGGCTTAGAGACTGAGTGCCTCGGTACTTCATGTTTTTATTTCTCAAATGTGTTTAGTACCTTCTCTACCTTATAAGGCTCAAGTGTGATAAGGATGTGGAAACCATATGACAAGCACATAGCAGGGGATATACAGAAAGCAGTTTTATCACTGGATGTTGTAAAATGTTAACGTTGACATTAAAAAGACGAATGTTTGGATTGATCTCCTTAGCAAATTCCTTTTAAAACAATGTTAACAAGGGTCTAAGTCTGTGACTTACAGCTAAGTTTCATACCTATAGAGAGAGGAGGAGGAAAGCGTTAGTTTTGGGAAACTTGTTAAATAGTATATTGTCCTTATATAGATTTTGCTCTGATATTAAATTTTTAAATCTTGAAAATATAATGAAAAAAAGATAAATTAAAAAATATAGCTAGTGGAGTCTAACAAATTCTGATAGTAAACACATAAATCCAAGAAAGGTTCAACTTAATGTAATTTGTTGCCATGGGAAATACATGATGGACAGACAGCTTTCTGGGCAAAAAGCATTAGGGTAAGATTGAGCCAGATGCGGAATCCTAGCAGACGTTTATTTAGGAGGTGGACTAACAAAATAACGTGTGGTAACAATATAAAATATAAATGGCATTTCCTCAATTCCAAATTGCATATTGGCTAATTAGCAAACTAAGGACAAAAGGCTTACAAGGAATACTTCATTTTAATGTTGTTTATGCAGAGAATGGCCATAGTGAACTATAATTCTCTAGCTGCATTGTACAATATAAGGCAGAAGTTTGAATATGTCCCACCCAAAATGCATTATGATTTTGTTAACCTCTTCCTTTTTCTTAATCGGTTTGAAAACCATCTGAAAAGAAAGGCTATTTTTGTTCAATTTTAATTTCTGACATTTGGTTTGTTTTCAATTGTGAAGTTTCATTTTCCCCCCAATACCCCACAATCAGCTGCAGACATGAAATGGTGTCCACGTGTCGAGCTTGTCAAGGAAAGCGGCCAGTCGGTTTCCATTCTGATGCCAATAGCCAATTTTGACAACGAAAAGGTCCAATTTTATGAATTTAACTAAAAACCATCCTATTTTTACAGCATCTCAGTGGTGTCTGGGATGCAGTGTCTTCTCCAATGTTGAACACAGGACGAAGTGCTGTAGGACTGCAACGCTGCTCAGGACAGATCCTGTCACGAAGACCGTAACCCGGGCGTCATTCACTCCAAGGACTCGGCATCAGTTCGCGAGGAGGGAGGGGGGTGGCCACATTCTTCCCTGTGTGTGTGAAGTTAATCATGTTCACGATATTTACAATAAGAAAAAGACCTTCCACGGCTCATGATGTAACTTACAGCAAAAAAATTAGTCATGCTTCTTTTCATATCACATGATGGTGGCAAGAGAGAGAACATGCTTGTCTAACACTGTTCGGTGAAGGATACATTTTCTGAAGACAAAGCATCAGCAACTGAATGGAAGGCCGGACACTGTCCATGTTCTTTAGTGTAGCTATTCGATCTCCAGGGAAAGGTGACGGACCCTTTAGCATCCGCAGCTACGGCGTTTCCGTGACAGGGCGTTTCTGTTTCAAAGTGTCAATGAGGGACAAGACCCCGCGTTTCACATTGGTTGTGACCCGTCTGGTCACGGAGTCTGCTGGCGGAGGAGGTGGCCGGACTTTCTGTGAGGGCGGCCTGGCTACCAAGCACTTCTGGTATCGCAACTGAAACAAAACATGGTTGATGGTCGTTAATAACGTATCATCCCTTCTTGTCGAATGTGATTTTAATTAATCACCAATACATTTACTCCCCAAAGTGAACGACCTAGCTCCTAAACATGAATCCAAGAAGCTAGCGACTTTTTTCTTTAAGTGGAGTGTTTTAAATGTTCTTAAAAGATCCTGAGGCTTGACAAAGATGCTTTGGCTTTTGCCATCTTTTTCTTCCATCCAACTCCTCCCTCTACTTGTCCTCTATATTGGTAGGCTGCATTCACACTCCTCACAGTCGAAGAGCAAGTCTAAGTTTTACAAGTCTAAGACAAGTCTAAACCTTAATGAATGAATTAAAAGAATCCATTATCCTGGCACCACGGACAGTTTCTTATCCTTCAGGAAGAAATAGAATAACACAATCCATCTGCTTTTGTATTAGACAAAGAGAAGTAATTCTTAAAAAATAGATTAAAAAGGTTAAAATTTATCCCATTATTTCCTAATCCAGGCACCTGAAAATAAATCCATGACTGGTTTTTTAAAACTCTACTTAAATATTAATAATTCCCCCAGTACAGTGTGAAACAGGCGGATGCTCCCCACCCCCGCCCCGAGAAGCATAAATTATTTGTAGCAAGACTCTGGGTCACAGTGTCTGTCACAGCCCCTAGGCCTCAACACTAGCCCCTTCCAACCTCAACGCACGAAAAATGAGTCACTGCGTGTCTCCTCTGTGTAAGGTACCCGCCAGGTCCACACCACAACCCAGACCCCATGCTCTTAGAAGTCGGGGTTGTTAACGGGCAGCTGTGGCACATGGCGCACTGGACTGGGAGTTCCTAATGCGAACGAGGCAGTTCCAGCGAGAGTCAAAACTGCCCCATCCCTCTCCGCCTTTTCCTAAATTTCACCAAAATATTTTCAGCTGGGCTCTACCACACAGCTGCAAAATCTGCCTAACAATTAAGGAGATTCAAGAGACTATGTTCACGCCACAGACATCTCAGATGGTACAGATTCATGTATAGATATTTCAGATGGAGAAGCATACAGATGTGATTCAGGACGCTGGCTTCAGCGTATAAGGAAAGGTTTCATTTTATCAACGGGCCTTATACGGGACTGGCTGAGCCTCTTCAGCGGGCTGCCCCAATGCCATTAAAGTAGCAAGCAAATGAGTAAAAAATTGCTTCTAAGACATAAAATGGGCCTGGGAATCAGAAAACAAACTGTAACCAGTGATAAAGCTAATTATTTAATAGCCATTGGCATTTGAAATGTATAATTAAGGCTGAAAGCTATTCATTTTATGACTAAAACCATCTGTTATGATCATTTTCAATTTCATGACATACCTAAATAGTCACCCTCTATTTTGCTTGGCTGAACTCTCCCATCTTCTCTCTTCTTCACATAGTCCCTGCATCCCCTCTCAGTCTCCTACGCCCCGTCAGGAGGTTCATCTCGACTCTTCACCCCAGTTTCCCCCACCCGGCCCTGCTCCTTTATATGCATAATCCTGGCTCCACAGAATGAGGGGGACTTATACCCCTGATAAAGGACTGTGGTAAGGAAGCCAGCTAATGAGTGCACTAGGTCTTCCCTTCCCCATCTGCCCCTCTCCATTTCAAGGGGGTCTTTTATGATAAAAGTCAACCAGCTCTTTTCTTGTTCCCCACCTCCGTTATCTGCCATCCACCTCATTTCTTCCCCCTCATGCTTAACCTAGCAACGTGCTGTATGGAAAACCACAGAACTCCCTCAACTTCTCTAAACCCACGTACTCTTGGATTCTTGGCATCTTCTGGCCAGTCTCAAAGTCACTCTAACCCAGCAATTTTCACCCTGTGTCCCACAAGTACTTAAAAACATGCAATACCTGACTATTTAGTCAGGGGCACTGACCTCTTTTCCCTCAGAGTGTCAAATAAAAAAACGACAACAGCTAACACAACAATAGCCATCCGGTGTGAATGAATCAAAATTATACCTTTTTATTTTTTTTGGTCAGATGGCCAAAAAGTGTATTTTTTGGTGTGCCACAGAATTTTAGTTATTGGGTTGTGTGCCATGAGATGAAAAAGGTTGAAAATCGCTGCTCCAACCCAATTAGCAGGCTAAGCCCCTCCCCAGGCTCTTAATCTACCACCAAGACCTTGCCCCAACCACATATCTATGACTCCATTCCAGTCGGCTTTACTGGTTCATTTCCCTCAACTCCATAATGCAAGGATGCTTTCTTAGTCCTACTTGAATTGCCCATAAGTGGATTAAACTAGATGAAGCCCAGGTACTTCAAATTCAGAATCTCCTCTGCGCCCCCTTCCCCCCACAACCCTCCCGCCATGAGACTCTCCACAACATCTGCCAGGTCACCTGCTCCTGGTTTCCATGCTGTGCAACCCACATCTGGACCAATAACCGGGCTTCCTGGTTGACGTCTCCACCCCAGACTCCTCCTCCCAGCCCGTCTTCCACTTTTTCTTTTTTTTTGCTCTCGAGTACACTTTTAAGACCTACTATGGTCAATCCACTCTCCTGCTTAACAATCTTTGCTGAAGATAAACACTTTGGCACAGCATTATGGGCACTTCACGATATGGACGCTGCGTCCTTCCACTTGGCTCCACCGCCCCCACCTGTGTTGCTAGGATACACCACGCTTCAGGCTGATGCCCACATTCACACAATCCCTCGCTTTTACTAGGACTTTCTCAGTGCCAGCATCACTGGTGCTCAAAGTATTTTGAATGACAAAGTATTGTTGTTTGTTTGAAATCATACAAGATGCGAAGAGCATTGGGCTTTGGTACCCAGAGCAGGTGGGACTGAACGCAGACTCGCCATCTCTGTGCCCAGGGCCCCTTCTTTCCTCCGAGCCGCTGTCTTCTCATAAATAAAACAACTAACTACTGCCTAACAGGGTGGTTGTAAGCACTGAATTCATAGACACGAAGTAAATAAAACATGTAAGAACAGTGCACATAAACCAACTCTCTGGAATAAAAACCATTCAATCCACTAATTTTTTTTTAAGTACTGAGTTGGTTCAAAACAGTACCAACTCATACATGACCAACATTTCCTGATCACATCCTGAAATTAATAAGGGACTAAGAACAGAATCCTTAGGCTTGTGGTTTCAAAGATCGTCCTTTCCAATGTTCCTGGAGTCTCAACGGAATTTGGCTCCATCTAGCCCTGCTTCTTGCAGGTGCCCTCGCCCCTTGACATGGCAAACTGTTTGTCACAATTGATTCTGTCCCCAGGAGAGTGTTACACGGTAAAGCATTACTTTTAGGATCAGGCTCTTCTCCTTTTAAGTTAGTGACTCTGCTCCAATTCACAGCACAGAAAACATAACCAGGGGCGTGCAGTCGAACCAGTCCCCGCAGCGGGATACTCACCATGCAGGCGGCCTGCACCGCCTCGGACACGTTAGCGGCGTTAGGCTCGCACCAGAACACGTGGCACTCGAAGCGCTGGTTCCCGGTGTCCATGATGAAGGCAAATGTATGGATATCCTTCCCGACGCCCATGAAGGACAGAAACCGCACCCGACACTCCACTAAGATTTCCTCTTCGTTCTGCAAGACACACTGCTCAGCAGCCCACTCTCGGGGAGCCAGGCAACAGTCACAAACACATTCAGACCCTAAGTCAGAGATTCAGGCATGGAGACGAATCCATCTCTAGTTTTGAAAAGATACAGCCAGACCAAGTGTAGGAAGCAAATGTCCCCAGGAACCGGAAAGGCCTTCCCTGCTGAGGGTGTCGCATCCTGGCATTTAATCCCGCTCGGAACTACACACAACCGAGGTGTGTGTTCCGCTCCCGGTGCACGTGCTCCAAGCCCGGGGCTCACTGAGGATGGGGTGATGTCATGCATACTTCTTACATGTTCCCCACATAGGCCACCCATCTGCCCAAGTGAACCCACTGGAAACCCACGGCCCCCAGAGAGAAGGAACCTCGGGATCTGTCCCCATCCAGGTCTTCTTCCCAAGCTAAACGGCACGCTGAGGCATATTCTACCTAAAACCGTGTAAAACACAAAGTCTCCAAATCATATTTTCTCTTTCACAAACTGGCATCCATATGATGCAGTGTGAGGGACTGTTCGGGATGCATCCTTACGAATACCACGTCCTTTGCAGCAGCAACCACATGCAAGTTTAAATTAGTAAACACAACCAGCACGGTGACTTGTGCACCACTAGCACCTTGACTTATTAAACATTCACGCAGGTGCTGTGGGATTAACAGGACAACTGAGCTGGTCTGGGAGGCCTGGGAGTTTTCTTGGGAGAAATTGTGTTCAAGTGGAAATCTGGGTGAGGCAAAGGCGTGGAGCACAGGAGCAGGAAAGGGCGCGACACGTCTGGAGACCGAGGAAAACCCAGCGCCGCACGCTGGAGAGGCAGGCAGGGTCAGTGAGCGTCTCACTCTTCCTTAGAAGGGGAAGGGGGCCTGAAGGTGACCTGCTGGAGGACAGAGCCGCCGCCATGGATGCGCGGTCTTTCCATGGCGGTGTTTCACGGACGCAGAGGTGGGAGAGTCTGCAGCCAGCCTGCCTGTGTTCCGTCCTGACCCTGCTGCTTCCAGCTCGGTGACTGGGGTAGTTACCTAACCTCTCTGTGCTTCAGTTTCTTCAACCACAAAGTTGGGATAATGTGAGTGGAGGCAAATGCTGGCCTCACTCAAGATGACCAGCGTGGTCCCCTCAAGCTTTGCCTGCCCAGAGCTCCTCTGCTCCCGGCGGCCAGAACCGAGGGGTAGAGTAGCCCTTGGCGGACAAAAAAAAAAAAAAAAAAAAAGATGACCAGCGGCCCCTGCTACTACCAAACAGTAGCATCTCCAATAATGGAAGCATCTCCGGGCCCCCAACCCCAGAAAACACAACCCACTTGCCCCTGGAGCCCGAGAGGGACCAGCCAGAAAACCAAACCACCAGTGCGATACTGCTAGTGCCTTCTAGTCACCACCAGCAAATGTGTGCAGACACGCAGACACAAAGGGCAAAGTTTTTTTTGTGTGTGTTTTTTTTTAATGGAGGCTATTTTAATCATAAGCAAGCACAGCTCCCCAGAGCTCCAGCCCTGGCTAGGTACCTGTTTCACGGAAGACTCTTGTGTCCAAAACCCCAGTGTAACCCAGACAGGCCAAGGGCATGCTCGACCCTTCTTACCTTCTCACTGATGACAGTCACAGTGGCATCGGCCACGCTCATGTTCACGGACGGCCAATCCTCCTGGCTGGACGAGGTCATTAGACTCTCTATGGCATTGTTCAGGGTGTCCATTCCTGAACGGATTGAAGGAATCATTGAAAAAGGCCCTACAGCTATTTATCACTCACAAACGGGGGCCCAAATCACCCAGGCGGATCTTTTTTTTATAGCCCCAGGAGACATTTCTCATGTTTGCTTAGAAAAATGAAATGCCAGCTTTTTCAACAAGAAGAAGGGTCATGAAAATCTGAGATGTAGTGTGTGATGTCCTGTCTGATCGCCACATGCTCCGTCCTCTTTCTCTCTCAGGGTTCCCCAGCCCTGACTGTAGAAATAGTACTCGAGCAAATGCTATGTTTTTCTAAGCACAGAGCTTTGGAAAGGGGACCCAACAGAAGCCAGCATTTATGCTGTTGCTTCAACAAGGCCAAGCATGGGTAGCAATCTTTACAAAAGTTATAGGAGCTATTCAATGGGGCACTTTTACTGGGTGTTCCCACAGCTGTTTTATTTATTTTTTTGGGGGGGGGGGGGATGGAATAACAATTTTATTGAGATATAATTCACATACAAGTCGCTCACTCAAAGTACCTAATTCAGCCCAGGCCACGTGGCTCAGTTGGTTGGAGTGTCGTCCCATACACTGAAGGACTGTGGGTTCAATTCCTGGTCAGTGCACATACCTAGGTTATGGGTTCGATCCCCAGTGGAGGCACGTACAGGAGGCAACCAATTGATGTTACTCTCAAACATCGATGTTTCTCTCCCTTCTTTCCCCTCCCTCTAAAATCAGTAAAATAGCCCTGGCCTTTGTGGTCCAGTAGTGAGAGCATTGGCCTGTGCATCAAAGGGTTGCAGGTTCAACCCCCTGCCCTAGGCCCAGTCGGGGGTGCATGCAGGAGGCAGTCAATGTGTCTCTCTCACATAGAAGTTCCTCTCTCCCCCACTCCTTCCACTCTCTAAAAATCAATGGAAAAAATATCCTCGGGTGAAGAGTTTTAAAAAAATAAAAATCAATAAAACATCCACAGGTGAGGATTAAAAAAATGTTTTTTAATGTATAATTCCATTTTTTTTTTTGCTATATTCAGAGTTGTGCAACCATCAACACAGTCCATTTTAGAAAATTTTCATCAGCCCACAAAGAAACCCTGTACCTTTTAGGAGTCACCCTCCATGGCCTCCCAGCCCCCTAGCCCTAGGCAATCAATTTCTATCTAGAGATTTGCCTGTTCTGGACATTTCCCACACATGGAACCAGAGTATGTGGGCCTTTGTGACTGGCTTCTCCACTTCGCACATGTGGTCAAGGTTCATCACGTGGCAGCGTGTGCCAGTGCGCCATCCCTTTTCCTGGCCAAGTAAGACCCCTCTGTCTGCACCATCACACCTCCTTTGTCCACATGTCAAATGAGGACATCTGGCTTGTTCCTCCTTTTTGATTGTTACAACAAATGCTGCTGTGAACATTCACGCACACATTTCTGAGAGGACGGATGTTTTCATTTCACTGGGGTAAGTGCCTAGAAATCCCTGGGTCAAACGGTGACTCCATGTCTGACGTTTTGAGGATCTGCCAGACCGTTTCCCCAAGCAGCGGCATCATTTTACACCCCAGCAGGACGAGGGTCCATCCAGGCGAAGGCGGCACCTCCCGCCATTTCTCAGCTTCCTAAGGCCAAGCAGCCAGGCCCTGCCCCTGGATGTGAGCTGACTGCTGTGTGCACGGCTTCCCGGTCACACCTTGAAGGGAAAGCATGAGGGAGTCCCCCAGCCCTCCCCGCTGGCGACAAGGACTGAAGCAGGCGCCCCGGCCCCGGAGACAGAAGCCCCACTGGAGGGCAGCAAGCCCTGGTCATGCTTCTCTGGAATGCTGGGTAAACGAGAAATAGAACGAGAAATAGGTGCCGCTCTATCCACATCCCTGCGTTCTGGGGACCGAGGGGCTCAGCCTGTCCTCCTCGCTCTCTTGATCAGGACTGTCTGTGTGCTCTGGCTGTGACAGTGCAAGGGCTGGTTCAAGACAAAGAAACCCAACCTTATGGGAGGGTGGACACCCCTCCGAGCTCCCAAACACCTGCAGGAGGAAAGACGAACATGCTTCACGTACCGACTGGCTTGTCCACAGGTAACATGCCCAAGTACTGCACGTGGAACTTCTGCACCAGCTCAGTCTTTGGTGTTGGAAAATCTACTGCAGGGAACAAAAGCAACACATCTTTCTCTGTGGTTCCAACACACACACAGGAACAGCCATCACTGTGTCATCTGGAACGCACGCCCTGTGCCACACTGCCCTGTTTCTGGAGGTAAATGAGGCCCTTGTTCTGTAAGAACAGAGACGCTGGGGCTCCGTCAATCAAAATCCCATTCAACTTTCATTTCCCAGGCAGAGACACATGTGAAAGCAGGACCTAGCCCGGCTGGCGTGGCTCAGTGGTTGAGCATCGATCAACCTATGAACCAGGAAGGAGGTCACTGTTTGATTCCCGGTCAGGGCACATGCCCAGGTTATGGGCTCGATCCCCAATGTGGGTTGTGCAGGAGGCAGCTGATCAATGGTTCTCTCTCATCATTGATATTTCTATCTCTCTCTACCTCTCCCTTCCTCTCTGAAATTGAGATTATAGTAAGAAAAAGAAAGAAAAAAAAGCAGGACCTGGAATCTATGTGTTAAAGTTGTCACTGTCTCTCTGATGAGCGCTAAAGAACAGCTTCTGATGTCCTCTATGTTGGGTGTGGTTCACACCCAGGGAAAGTTTAATCACAAAGGGGGCAATCAGGGAAAATAACTAAACAGAACCCCCAAAATATCAACCCACATATTTTTTAGCTAGCTAGTCCTTACCCAGGCTGTATATGAGTTAGAAAACCACTAAGGATAATATTTGTTAATCTTGTTCAACAACAAAACTCATCTTGGCCATGTATGCCTAATCCCATTGACACAAATCAACTCTGAGCCGTGGGGAGGGCCGAGGGCCCGCTCAGCATGTGCTGGTGGATGTGAACATGTTTTAAGGAGACGAGAAGCACCAGGCGACTACCCAAGACCCTTTGGTTCCTGAGTAGGATGGAGGGCGCCACCGTGAAGAGAGCAGGTAGCGCCGACCTACCTTGCAAGGGAACGTCGAGATTCACATTGGTTCTTTCATGTAAGGAACTGCAGGCCAGGGCTTTGGCATTCTTCCGTTCGGCCATAATCTGAAGAAGAGAAATCACAGTGTGGGCTTGTGGTTACAGAGCCCGCCTTCAGCGACTGGAGCCAGTCAGGTGCCTGAGCAGATTGTACTTCCGAGTTAAACCAGCTGCCTATTCTGAGAACTGTGCCGTTTTCCTAGGGATATGAGGTGAGTAACTATCCCTCACAGTAACAGTCTCCTAATCTGTTGAAATTTATTCTTCCATTCACCCCCATCGTTACTAACACAACCCAAACATCCCTGGCCTGTGGGGACCTGCTGGCCCACTGTGGTCAGGGACAGCGCAGCGGGCGTCCCCCATTGCTTCTGGGCGATGACTCTCAGGTACCGTTTTCAGGGCTCTGGGGACAAAGCACATAGTGCCCCCTTAGCCACGGGGATCCACGCCAAGCCCCAGTGCCTGCCTGAAACCGTGGATAGTACTGAACCCTGTAAATGCTTTGTTTTCCCCCTCTTCATACATACCCACGATAAATTAGGCACGGTAAGAGATGAACAACAACAATAATAAAATAGAACAACTATAACAACATACGTTGATAGAAGTTATGTGAATGGCTTTGGGGTCATTAGTAAATAAAATAAGGGTTACTGGAACACTAGCACTGTGATACCGAGATAGCTGGCCTGATAACAGGACTGAGTGACTAATGGGCGGGCGGGATACACAGTGTGGATATGCTGGACAAGGGATGATTCATGTCGTGGGTGGGATGGAGCAGGATGGCACGAGATTTCATTACACTACTCAGAACGATGCGCAAGTTAAAACGTATGAACTGTTTGTTTCTGGAGTTTTCCATTTAATATTTGCAGATTGAGGTTGACTGTGGGTGACTGAAACCGCAGAACATGAAACCGTGGGTAAGGGGAGAGACTACTGCATGTGGGTTTAAATCCCGCCTCTGCCACTGACTAGCCGTGTGACCTTGAGCAAGTCACCTGACCCCTTGTGTCTTCTCCTCCAGTGTACATGGGGATGATAATATTCATGTCCCTAATAATAATGTTATGTCAGTTCTGAGGATTAAATGTAAGCACTCAGAAATATGAGCTGCTGTCGCTGTTCTCAAACTGTCTAAACCTGTCAGCCGTCTTCCAAATGGTCTCTTTCCGTTAGGAGAGTCATCACTTTTACTCGTTCATAGTGCTGTGGGTCTGAAGGAAGGAAGGAAGCACCCCCTTCAGTGATCCCCAAAGCAATTCACATCTGCATTCCCAGCCCAAGCTTTCACTCCAGGTGGAACAGAAGCCACTGCCTCCCCAGAGCTCTGTGCCTGGGCCTGCAGGCCAGCAGCTCAATGTGCAGTCAACAGCCCCACCCTCCCACCCCTACACCCCTCTCCCTGCTCAGCAGTGAGGAGAGAGGGATGAGCCACTGCACCCCGACCCACCTTACCTTGGAACAGATCTCGTGGAGACTTGTGGCGATGGCTTTTGCTGGTGTGTCACATCGAAATACATGACATTTCAAAATTCTTGTATCTTTGTCTCTTGCTACGTAAGCAAAATCTCTGTACAAACAAAGTTCATCAGGACGTTACAAAAGGAATCTTGACCAACACATTCTGGCGGAGAACGCTAACTGTGCTAGTGGCCCGTGGGTCAGTGGTAAACAGTATGCAATGGTTAAAAAAAAGCAACAGCTACCTAAAACAGAGGAACGGCTTTATGGACATTAGAAATTCATTTCTGAGGAACAGAACTACAGGCATGTGTGTGTTACGTGCCGTTGAGTGGCTCTGACTCCCGGCGGCCCTGTGACTGAGTGACGTCCACAGTGTCCTGTGCTCAGCAGCCCTGCTCGCCTCCTGCAGACTCAGGCTATGGCTTCTTTCATGGAGTCACTCCATCTCCTACTTGGACTTCCTCTTTCCCTGCTGCCTTCTATTTTACCAGCAGGACTGTCTTTTCCAAAGACCCCTGCCTTCTCATGATGTGGCCGAGCCTGCCTTCTCATGATGTGGCCGAGGTAGGACAGCTTCAGTTTTGTCATTTTTACCTCCGGTGATGTTTCAGGCTTACCTTGGAGATATTATTGCATGTTCGGAGCCAGACCACGGTAATGCAGTGAGTCACATGTCATGTTTGGCTCCCCAGTGTTTATAAAAGTTATGTTTACACGGAACAGTAGTCTATTAAGTGTGCAATAGCACTGTATGTACAGAAATAATGTGCATGCTCTCACTGAAAATGCTTTATTGCTGGAAACGCTAACCCTCATCTGAGCCTGTTGGAAAATGGCACCAAAAGACTCGCTTGACGTGGGGTTGCACAAACCTTCAATTTGTAAAAAAAAATGTAGTGTCTGCTAAATGCAATAAAACGAGGTGTGATAAAACGAGGAACATCTGTACAGTGTTCTCCACACCAGGTTAGCGGCAGCCTTGGAATCCCTAACAACCCATAACAAAAGGGGAATTTTATAGAAACCTTCTATCTAGAGAAACAAATATGATTATACACAGAAAACAGGCTTGAGAAGAACACGAATTTGCATGAGTGATACCGTGACAAACAGTGGGCAGCAGAAGCAAACAATAGGCTCTGATGTGTCAACATGTGCACAGAGGCGGAGGACCCCCGCTGCTGGCGGAAGCTGACGGGCAGCCACAGGGGGCGCTGGAGCACAGAGACCCCACAGACCGGATCCTGCCCCAGGCACCTGGTTCTGTCAAGCACGACTCCTACTCCAGCGCTCAAGGCGACCACAGGGTGAGCTCAGCCCCCGCCTGCCTGTGGTGAGCATGCGGCCGGGGCTGGCTTAGGTGTCTATTTTGCTGATGAAAAGGGTAATTACTGTGACGTTACCTGGCTTCAAAAGAACCACGTCATATAACTCAATGTCTCACCGTTAGTGGTTTAAAGATCAAAGTGTTTATGAAAAATGAATGCTGAGATGTACCCGCCTGGTAACGGATCACGATGATTTCTTTGCATTTGTGTTAAGCCAGGATAATGTCTGCATATATAATCACAGATGAATTTATTTTTAATGATTTCTACTCATGTAAGAACTGGCCGTCTCCTCACAGACTGTGATTGATACTTTCCCCAAGACACCCTCCGCTTCCTTGGAAAGGCATGGGGATGGGTGCTCTGGGGCACCTGGCCACCATGAAGGCCTAGCGGGAAAGCCTGCTCCCTAGGCCTTGCCATGCCCCAGGAAGCCCCTCAGTGGGACTCCCCGAACCCGGCTCCAGGTTGGGGGCACCTTTACCTGACTGCACGCAGGCACATCTGACCTCCCTACCTTCTCTCTCGGCTGGTGTCCTCCACGCTAGAACCAGGAGGCCTTCCTGACTTCCTCACCCAGCCCCATGAAATGCCCTGGACCCCCCCTTTCCTCGCCTGCCCCCTCACCACGTAGGCATGAGCAGGCTCTCGCCTCCCTGCCTTTGTCTTTGCTGTCTCCATGCCCCTTGTCGAGGTTTAGGGGTCAGCTGAGGCCGGGTGGGTGCCCTGCCCGGTGCTGCCACGGCTCCCCATACAATGTACTTGGTGCCATACATGTTTCTTTATGAGTTTGTCTTCCCACAATCCCGTGCAGCTCCCGGAAGATGACTTGTGCCTTATTCATCCCCAATACCCAGTCGAGGCCTGGCTACAATCTGACCCGAGTGCCCGTCCTTCCTGAAGCACAGGCCCGGGGCACCCACCGGTCAGAGGCAGGAGCGGGTCTTGTGGCAGCGGCTGAGGGCTGGGCCTGAGCGCGGAGCTGGCCCAGACGGAGGGCTGAGCAGCCTTCCTCCAGGCTGTGGTCCAGAGGCCTTTATATCCTAGTCTCAACCACCATCAAGGCAACGTTTTACGTAAACACGAGGTGAGAGGAGGCATCACTTCTGAAGCCCATGCTCAAGGGAAGCCATTTTTGGCCCCTTTCTCTGGCTGCTCTTCCTCCCGAGACTTATCCTAAAGTCACACACACAATGTCTCACCACCTACCACTCCCTTTCCTTCAAAATTCCACAGTCAGCCCCACTGTTATGAGGCAAAATCTCTTCAAAGCTCTATGATCACCCACGGGAAGTCTAAAAATCTTGTCTGGATTTCAGGACTCCCCAGATCTGTCCCACCAACTCTTTCAACATCTTTCCTCCAACTGAGCAGCTCTCCCGTCTGCTCCAGAGTGTGGGCCTCATGTCCACTCCTGGCATCTCCCTCGCCTGCTGACCACTGGCCTCCTGCACGGCCTGGAGCCCACTGCTGCTCCCCTCTGTGCAGCGCAGCCCAGAAGCCTGCCTGGCTTGCTGGCCCTTGCTTCTGTCCAAATGCGTATTACGGTATTTAGATTCTGTACCACAAAGGATAGGAGCTGTGGTTGCCGTGCAGGTCTCAGCTGTGTCTGTCCTCTCAGAGACAGTGCAGAACAACTGGAGGGCAATGACTCGGGAGTCAGGCCACCCAAATTCTAGTCCTATTTTATTACCGGTTCCACTGAGGTTCCACGCCTTGGGCACGGAGTCTAATCTCATCACTAAGTAAGGGGGATACGCCAACAAATCATGAAAAACACAATTTCCAAGGGCCCTTTCTAGCTCCGATTCGCTGTGATGCAAACTTCCAGATCCATCACGTTCTTACGTAAATAGAATTTGCTACGTTTTTATCTTCTTCAAAAGGACTTCAGGAGGCATCTACCGACTTCTCACTGGTCACCTAGACTAACATTTCGAAGTCCCGTCTACAGCAGTCTGGACAGGCGGTGCCTGTGAAATCTCACTTAATCAACCAGCCTGTCTCCCATTGCTGGAACATTTCTAGGGAACCAGAGTATTTTTTCCCTAAATAATGAGCTGAAACTCGCCTCCCTGCAACTTTTGCTTGTAGGACCGAGCTCTGCTTCCTGGGGAAGTGCGGTAACACGCAGCCCGGACCTGTCTGGCAGTCACACCCCTTTCTTTTCTATTAGACTCCCTCCCACTCTGTCTGTCCCCAAACCTCCTCGGGTGGGGTCCTTTACCACATCTCCACAATTTGATAGTCCTCCCCAGAATCCAAATTTGCTCAGGTCAAATACACATTATGTTTGAAGCCAGGAACTTGTGAAGGCTGGCAAGTGACAGGCGTTCGAATAATGGTATTTGACCTGAGCAATCCTATATAATAAAAGGCTAATATGCAAATCGACCGAACTGAGGAAAGACCGGTCGCTATGATGCGCACTGACCACCAGGGGGCAGACGCTCAATGCAGGAGCTGCTCCCTGGTGGTCAGTGTGCTCCCACAGGGGGAGCACCGCTCAGCCAGAAGCTGGGCTCACGCTGGTGAGCACAGCGGCTCCCGCAGTGCTAAGGACCCCTCCAGGGATGTCCGACTGCTGGTGTGGGGAGTGGGCCTAAGCCAGCGGTCGGACATCCCACAAGGGGTCCCGGACTGCGAGAAGGTGCAGACCGGGCTGAGGGACCCTCCCCCCCAGTGCATGAATGTTGTGCACCGGGCCTCTAGTATCATTATAAATGTGGTAAAACAAGTACAAGAAAAAGCCTACTCTAAAGTACTGCCTCCTAACCCACGAGGGATGTTTTAATGACCATTTGCATGCATAATAACTATGTTAAGACTCGCTGAATTGTATGTAAAGGCCCTTTCCTCCCAGCCTATCTTTCTGTAAACCGCAGAGTTGTTACTACTGTAGAGGGTGGGCCCCACCTGCAAATAAGGACAAAACAGCAGCAAAGAGATTTGGTCCAAGCATCCCATTTCTAGCCCTCTGTGATAAAGGCCTTCTCTCCTCTTTGCTCCACCTGCACAGGGCCTGGGGGGAGGAGTCCTGTTTCAAGGCTGCCTGCTCTTATATTCTGACTGTGCTCTGAAAAGCTTGTTTTGAGGGTGGGAGGAGGGACGAGGGAGAAAGGGAGAAATGTCATCTTCCTAGATGCCAATCCAGAAGGTTTCTCTCTCTTTTTCTCTCTCTCTCTCTCTCTCTCTCACACACACACACACACACACACACACACACAGGACTTTGTTTTCTAATTTTACCCCGTGGCATATGCACCACACGTGAGCATCACAAAGCTTAGGCTCTAGCCTGGTAAACTCAACTTTCTTGTTTCTTCCTTGCAAGCTTAAGATGCTGACTTAGTAAATTCTAAAAGGTGTCCCCCAGGAACTCATCACCTGGGTAAACCCATTCTCCACAGGGAGTCCCTCGCCAGGCACCTCCATGAGACCACACAGGCTGTGTAAGCAGCAAATCTAAAATTCTACCACCTGCAAATAGTCCAGGTGGCGTGGGCGGACCAGAATTGGTAGCCGTCTCTAAAGCAGTCCTGCTGTTAATATTCAGAGCAACTGCTTCCCAGTGAAAAGACCCGAGGGTAGGAACTAGCAAACAGCTGAAAGCAGCCTCACCATTGGCTCACACAGGACTTATTACTTATCCAAATGTCCAGCCCTCACCTTCCAGAACCTTCCACTACCTCCAGAGGTCAGGCTCACAAGTTCTCTTTACCTCCCCTCTGGAAGGCTGGTCCTGGGAGTGTCCCCACCCAGTCTCTGCCATTTCCCG